GGATTGTAGCCTTCTTAATTTGCTTCTCTGCGTTGAGCTAGTCAATAATGGGTCGTCTTCTAGCCGGCACTCGGAGAAAAATGTTATTCAAAGATTAGCACCCTCCGAAGGCAACCGGCCGACTATGTTGTACCGCTTGCTAAAGAACGTATGCCAATCGTTGAGTACTTGCTTTTCCTTGTCGGAAAGCTCTGAGTAGTCAGATATGCAATCTTCAGGCTTGAGGGAAGAAAGCCCAAGGGCGCGGTTGGGCTCTTTCCCCGCAAAGACTGGCACACAGGGTTAGCTCTTGTGATATGCAATATCTCTTTCAGGGGTGACGAACCGTGATAGCCCTTCCCGGGTGCATACGTCTCTTTACCACTCACGTCAAAGACGTCACCCTAAATCAAAGTCAATCCTTCTGCATGGGCAAGATACCATACTCCAGGAACAGTGGTAGATACCTTGATAGCGACTAGAGTTGGAAATCCATCATTTGTACCTGCTGCTAGTCAGCGACTAGCCACCCAGCATTCGCCCGTCATGGAGAAGCCGTACCATCACACTTTGCGAGGTAATCGCGCTCAATGACATCATCCTTCGGTGGATTCAGTGTGACGGGTTGCTTTGGCGCGAACCTCTCTTTCTTCGGCTGCTCTGTAGCATCTGACATGGTGGAGGGCTGTATATCGATGTTGGTGATGTGGAACGTCGAATGCCCACGATGGGAAGTCACGATGTTAGCTTCGGCATGGCAGGGTGGGGCTGAGGCTAGGGTCGCACAAGCCTTATTCCGCCACAGACTTCTTCATCCCACAAGGTCACAAGTAGCACTTCCCTGACGCCATCCCGTTCGCTAAACCAGTACGCCCATCATCGTCTGCCCGCTAGCATATGCTTGAGTATTTTTCACAAAGTTTCGAGTCATTCTCAAGATGCATCTCTGGTTGAGCCGCTAATAGTGTTGAGTCTCCATCTCAGAAGCATACCGGATAACGTTTGCAGCTTGCGTGAGATTGTATTTCGATCTACCTTATATCTGGTGATATGCACATATAGAGCTAATGGTATACGGTGAATGTGTGAAATGCCGGACGTGGTGGCTTTGGACCCCGAATCTCACAGTTGTCAAGATCTGTCGCTTAAGCACGATACGACCGCCCAGGCGTACAACAATGACAGAAACCCAACAAGTACGACTACAGTCTTTCCTCCTATCATCCGATCCAGATACTCGAAACTCGCTGGGAAAACACAAGCTCTTTTAGACAAAGAAAAGACTCTAGATACACAACAAGTAGCTGTGGGCGGCTTCTTGTTTCCAACTTGTGCAGGTACAACTACCTTCCACTGGCGACGGTGTATGCTGACTGCCCCCCATTTGTTGCAGAATTGTATTGTTTCTGTTTTACACAGTCGCTACAACTCATCTCTCCTTGATACCATTCTCGTCTGACGTTCCAAGCGCCGAAACATTGATGGCCAGGATCGTTGCGTGCGAAATGGCAATGCTGTATGAGCAGATGCTCAACATGGCTGCAAGAGAATGTGATCTTCTCATAAAAGCACATGTTCTTCTGTGTCGATGGTATGACTGCTTGTTCGGTCTTGTGTTCGGGCACTATAATCATTGTCAGCTTGTTGACTATGGTGGAACCTTGCAAACGTACATCGAGATTTCACGTTTGTGGCTTGTACTCGAGATTTGGTGGCCGTGGTATACACGTGCCAAAATTTTGTGTTATAGGCTGTTGGTACGCAGAATTTGAGAAGGTTGTGGGGAAAATCTAGGGAAGTCTGGGGGTCGCACTGAAAAGGAGAAAGTCGCGACTCTTTATATGCTTCGTTGACAAACTTCTTGGCCGCACCTTCCTTTGAACGATCTCATTTACTGGAAAGAGTGCCTGCAGCAATTGAGTTACGCATCACATACGGGCTTAGACTAGCTGATTGCCTGACAGGTCAAAGATGTCAGTCGTGTCGTTGTACTATCGCGACCCCCACGTTCTTTTTTTCCTTCCTACTGGGACAGAGTGCAGAGTGAAAATATTGTGACACAATTCCATACCGGAATGATTCATACGCATCTGCAGCCGGCACTCCTCATGCACGCCTCTTCACGGTCCCTAGATGCTGGTAGTTGAGCCTTGGTGCTCGACTACTCAAAAGTTGGTCATTGGCGAAAACACGGCGCCCAGCTTGTCTGCTAGAAGCTAGTCCGGGAAGGAGTCATTCAATGCCCAGGTTCGACCTACACGGACACCCGACGCGTTTAATTGGTCCTGCTGTACGGTCCACGGTTGTGGTCGCTGTAGACAATACGCTTTCGTCCCGGTGGGAGCTTAACAAACATGAGTTCAAAGTCTACGGAAAGTCCCCTTTGCGCTCGAACGCACATGATAATCAAAGGAAGCTGGCCGTGTTATGCAGGATAAGCTTTTGGGTACCTAGGTATCGAGCTCTGATGAACGATTGCTTACGCCCCGTTGATCAAACTAGTGTACCAGGGGCTGCGGATCTAATTACGAAAAGTTCAGCATGGATCGGGCTACCCGTTTCCCCGTTGTGCTCAGCACGCAGTCATGCCACGGCTGCACAGATACCGGGTTTGACACGATCGTCTATAGCCTCTCACGAGTCGGTAGTTGAACCAGGTCAGCACATCTGATCTCGAAACGTACATCGCATGCTAACAAATAATGGTGATCTTTTCCTTCTCCATCTGGCCCGGTATAGCATGTCATGATGACACGAACATGCGAGCATGAACTCCAATTATCAAAGCTCGGCTGATAGCATGACCGCATTGAACATCGTTCATGAGCATGAACCTCTCACTGGCTTAGGACTTGGAAGCCAATCCCTTCCCTACCCTGGTTGTCACAACTTCCAACCGCTTCCCCGGCATAACCCCCAGATCGTTGGTGTGCATTTGCTGTCATGCGCTTTCACTCATAAGCGAGTGTTTTCTGAGCTTGATTGTCCGTCGCTCATTGCTCCTTGCACGAATTCACAAAATTTGTTACTATTGTGGTCAAAACGCTGTACCACTTTATGAAATGGTGATGAGAGTCTTTCATTACCTACCTGTTGTAAAGCCCCACGCTTAATCTGGTCTATTTCTTTGGATGGCACCTAGTGGTACCAGCAAACGAAAAGCACTGTGAGTGCTCATAAGTTATCAAGCCACCATCGTACTGCCGCAGAACACTACAGATGTCGAGACTACGAGATGGTTCGCCATGCAAAACGATTCGTGAATCAGGAGTAGAGCAGGCGCTGGGGAACCGGTCTGTGAGCCGGCCCTTGCACCTGCAGATGGTTTTCTCTCGAGGTGCTGATATCGTTGCCCTGCCCTGTTATTCTTGTACTACAGCTGTATACAAGTCGACCGGATTTTAGAGTAAATCTGAGCTGCAGCCAAGGAAAACATCCCTGGAGCTGTGCCTACGGCTCGTTCTTGAGGCAGCCGCGTCTTCTATCCGCCTTGGATGTGAAGCATGACCCATGATACTCAAGGGGCTGTTCCTTGACTGGCAGTGGGGTGTATTGAGCACTGAAGAAAGTTACTACAAATCTGGTTTGTTGGTGGTAGTAGTAGACGTCAAAGAAATACGCAGTGGAAGACGCACCCGATTTAGGCACACGATCAGATGTTCCGGAAACACAAGATCCATCACGATCGATCTCATCTAACAGTGCAATCTTTGGATCAGAATGAGCAGTGCCATCAACTTTGTCTGTGTTTACTGACTCGGTATCAAACTCAAAGCAAGGCACTCGTGTTCTCGTACATACGCCGCATCCACGAACCGATAAGTTGGGCAGACGGCTTCACCCGCGAGCGTTTATGCGCAATGTTCCTTCCAGTCACTACAGTCGGAACACTGCATATGCGCTCCTTTGCACACCAGGGCGATACTACGATGCAGGATCCGTACGAACAGATTCCGATATCGTTCCTCGGCATACTCCGCGGAGGGAAAAACCGGTGGACTGTTCGGAAACTGCAAAACCATATGATCCTAAAGAGGCCATACATGAGCTTGACTACCTAGGTATTCTAAAATGTACACGTCAAGTACATTTCAAGTACAAATCTAAGCTCCTGAACATGTTGGTGCCACTGTGAATTGTAGAAATAGCTTGCTCTATGAACTCGCACATTTATGCACTCTCCATACGACACGTCGTCTCGAGTGGTTAGTACTCCCACACTCCTCGTTCCTCAGCCAGCCTCCATTTTATCAATCGTCTTCCTGTAGGACACCTTACCCAAAAGGAATGGCGTCTCGACGGAAGTAGTCTAGGCAACATGATCAGCGTACACACAGAAATTGTAACGAATCACCAAGACAACGATTTCGCGGATAGCAAGAGAACAAGGGACAAGCAGAAGCGAGTATGATCCGGGGCGAATCAATCGGCCAAGCTCCGACAGTGGGTAAAGTGGCTTGCAGCGGAATGTCCTGCTTCTTCATCATATTCCATGTTGTCAAATGCCCAAGGCCGCGGAAGAAAAACAGGAGACAAAGTCAGCAGAACCATGGATCAAGAATCACTTTTTCCATTGACATCAACGCCTTCGCTAATGCTACTAACGACATGCAATCATAACCTTTATTTTCCAGCTTTTCTTGCTTTCCTCGCTTGCCTCTTCTTCGCAATGATTCTCGTCCGCTGTGCCAATTTCCCGTCTTTGCTCTTTACTGCAGCGGCGGCTTCCGCGTCAGCTTCCACAGCACCCGTACCCTGTTTCCCTTTGCCGTTCTTCTTACCCTTGCCCGAATTTTGGGTTGCAGAGCTAGAACTACGCTTGCGCTTCTGGCCTTGGGTCGCACCCGGCTCGGCATCGCTGTTGTCAGCCTCGCCATCCGCCTTTGACTTGGGTGCTTCTCTGGACTTTTCCTCGCGGTCCGAACGTCGGTTAACAACATTGGCGTTTTCGATGGCGAACTCGACGATGAGGCGCTTTCTTTTATCTTCCAGCGCTTCTTGGGCAGCCTTCTTGCTCTTTGGGGTAGGGCCAGACTTGATCTTGTAGTCTACAGCGTGGCCGTTGAGCCATCGTAGGCCCATAAGTGCATTTCGGTGCGTGTAGTACTCAATAAATCCGTATCCTCTACTCCTTCCTGCACCAGTATCTTCGGAAACTTTGCTACCAGCAGGTGTTTCGAAGACGACTTTGGCTTGCTTGACAATACCTTTGCCCTTCTTCTTACGCATTTTCTCGGCGACAAGCATTTCTTGACCGCCACGGATGACTTCCTCCTTGTTAAGTTTCTGACGCTTGCCCTCCTTAACATCGGCTGCGAAGCCAACGACGGCGCTACGAGCAAGTTGCTTCAGGTCCTTAGATGTGATACTGCGGGGAATGTTGCGTATAGACAGGCGAGTAAGGGACAAGTGAAGCGAAGGATTCTCTTGGATCTGTTTACGTCGCATTGTTGCGCTCTCTTCACGCATCTTGATTTCAGAGGGCGAGAGCTTCTGGTATAGAGGCGAGTTGGAGGAGATGGTTCCCTCGGAGAGAAGGTAGAGACGACGCTTGTCTTTGTCGCGACTGAAGCGCGAAGCAGCGCCTTCTGCTGTCAGACGGGTGGCTTCGTTCTTATCCACTGCGCGTGAGATTTGTAGGATACGACCGTCGATGGTGTACTTGCCAGTTGGGTCGGCATCTTCGTCTTCGAGTACAGAGTGTGTGACCGTGATGGTGGAGCCGTCTTTCTTGTCGAGATTCCTCTTCTGTAGCTTGACGCGCGGGACTCCCTTCAGGCAATTGATCATGTCTTCTTCCGAAAAGAACGAGACGAATCCCGTACCCTTTGGTCGTTCCGTCTCGCGATCGACCACGACGCGCGCGAATCGGACGCCACCGAACTGCTGGAAGTGCTCCTTAAGACGCTCGTCATCTACCGTGAAGGGGACGTTGCGTACGAAGACGGTGTACTCCTCGCGCTTTGGTCGGTTGTCTTCTTGGTCAAGCTCTACGCCACCGTCCTCGTCATCCTCCGATATGTCTTCGTAGTCGGTGTTGCTATCGTCGAGATCCTCGTCGTCGTTGTCGTCGTCGTCTTCGTCCGAGCTGACAGCAGAGCTCTCCGCGTCTTCCATGTCTTCATCTTCGTCCTCCCCCTCGTCCTTGGCATCGTCGCCCTCCTGCTCGGTCTTTTGCAGGCTCTGCCATGTGTCTCGATCCACGGCCCAATCGACGGCGATAGGCCTCTCGCCAACCTCTTTGCCGTTGAGTTCCTGTATCGCTCTCTCCGCGTTCTTCTTTCCCCGTAGCGAGACGAAGCCAAAGCCTCTCAGTTCACCATTTGGCTTCTTGGGCAGATTGACAAAGTTGACCTTGCCATAGCTTCTGAACAACTTTTCTAAGTCTTCTGGCGTCTTGATAGTCCATGGAAGGTTGCGAATGATGAGTTTTGGTGTTTGCGCATCCTTGATCTGCTGCTCGCGCTCTGCCTTGGCCCTGTCACCCGCCCGGGGACGCTTCTCTTCGCCCTCTCGCTGTCTGGCCTCGGCAAAGTCGACCTTGATCTTCTTTCCCTTGATTTCTGTGTTGTTCAACTCCTCCTTTGCTCTTTGCGCATCCTCCACGTCGGCGAATGTGACGAAACCGTAGCTCTTGGATTCGCGAGTTTCTTTATCCAGCACGACGAGCGCATTCTTGATTGGGTATGATTCGGAGAAGTATTCGGTCAGGTCTTCGGTGGTGACAGTGGGCGCAAGCCCGCGAACGAAAAGTTGTCTGCGTGCAGCTTCTTTGGGCGCTGCTGTGGAAGGCTTCGAGGGTTGCTCAACATCGGCGGTGGCTGTGACTGCTTCTGCTCCATCGAGCGAGAGCCGCTGGCGCTTTCTGCGGGGAGCCATTGCAAATAGATTAATTGAAGAAGCGTTGTTCGCGGCTTTGGACTTTTGCTATGTCTCCGAAAAAAAGTTCCAGCATCACGGCGCACAGATCCACCGCTCCGGCCTTGGCAGCACATGCGCCGGAAAGTGGAGCTAGACCCTTTGCGCTGAACGCTGCATGGGCAGCGAGACCTGCGTCCTGCATTTTGACTGCACTAGAACTCGATCTGTCTTCTCCGCCTTCACTCACTTTCACGACTTTCGCTAATGCCCGCTCACCGTTCAGTCTTCGTTGCATTCGCGTTCAATCTCAGATCGCGATCTTTCGCGTCAAGTGCCCGCCCAACTGGGCAAGCCGAGTGTCAGCCTGCACATCCCCACTCAATCTCGGGTCATGGGACACAAGCCCTCGCATGTTGCTATCTATTGCCGCACTTTTTAGTCGTGCCGTGTCTCAATGTGTGGGTGGTCTCGCATCTACAATGACATGCGCTTTCAAAATCCCATGCTCGCTACTCAGGACTCGCATACAGATACGTCACTGCGCACGACATTTTGACGACAACGCTGTTACGGCCGCGAGAGTAACTGAGACGATAGAACAATCCGCATACCCATGTATATATGCCTGCTACGTCGCTTACCTTCCTGACACCCAGGAGCATCCTTTCGCCTACAAGCAGAGACTTCTACAGATTGAACTGTAAGCTTTCACCACTATTGACAAGGCAATGTTTGCCGGAAGATGTTCCGGTCACATCCACTAGCGGTACGAAACATGTTTGTCTCTCCATTTTGTTATCCTCAGGTTCTCATCAAGAGCAATGATCGTTCCTGTCGCACCTTTGTTAACAACCAGGCGTGTTGGACAACAGGATCTGCCTAGACTGAGCCTCAAAGCGTTAGCACCCGACACTCAACGTCTGCACGCAATGCCATGGATGCAGCTCCTTTGACACTTCTGACACCGCAGCTACACCGGCGCAATCAAGGTGCTTATCAGGCATCGCTTAACTACTGCCCAACGCATCTTAGCCTTCCCCCGCCGCGGAGTGTAGTGCCGCCCATGTGAAGCCTATGGTACACACACAGGAGGGGTAAGCGCCGAAGGGGCATCTCTCAACATTTCGCCGTCTGTCGAGTACTCAGACAACAACCCAACAATGTCGCATTCGAGTTCTGAAGCGGGTGAGGGCGACGCCCTTTTGAACACCGGCGAGGTAATCGCATCTTCTTCTCGAAACTATTCTACACTTGAACACACGAATCTTGCCGAAGAAATAATCACAAGAGACGGAACATCTTTGGACACAGACAAAGAGAAGCCTGTTAGCCATGATCGATCGGACGACCCGGAGCGTTCACGCTCGTTAGCTGAAGAGCTTGGCGATGAAGATATCTCTTTGTACGAGAAGAAATGCTTGCTCATCAACCGCGAGATCGACCTCATGGGCATGGGTCGATACCAGTGGTCGATTTGGGCCCTTTGTGGCTTTGGCTACATGATTGACTTGATGTGGGCACAGGCATTTGGCCTCGTCCTTTCGCCCATCCAGCAGGAAATGGGGTTTGGAGCTGATCAAACTGGCAAGCTATCCACTGCCTTTTCGATCGGACTCACCGCCGGGGCGTTTGTGTGGGGTGTCCTTGTGGACGTGATTGGGCGAAAGTTCTCTTTCAACCTGACAGTCTTCATCGCGTGCATCTTCGGCACTTGCATTGGCGCTCCAAGCACTTACAACGCCATTCTGGTTCTTACGGCATTTACTGGATTCGGCGTTGGGGGCAACATTCCCATTGACACCACGATAACCTTGGAAGCCACCCCCCAGAGCAAGCGCTACCTTCTTCCCTTATTGTCCGTTTTTCAACCAATCGGTGTTGTTATCTGCTCAGTGCTCGCCTATGGTTTCATCCCCAACTGGTCTTGCAGTCCTAATTTCTCTGAGGGAGATCGAGCGTTACCTGCTTGCGGCATCGTTGCTACAGGAGAGGCCTGTTGCTCAAGGGAAGACAACATGGGATGGCGCTATCTACTCTTTACTCTGGGAGGCATAACAATACTTGTCTTCGTCTTGCGTTCGGTTATTTTTACCTTCCAGGAGTCCCCGAAATTCCTCATATATCGTGGAAAAGATGCAGAAGCCATCCAAGTGTTGCACACTATGGCTCAATACAACGGTACGAACTGTACATTGGTCCTGGAGGATCTCGAAGCACTTGAAAGAGAGTTCGATTCTGACCGAAATACTGGACCCATGCTTGGAGGCGGTGTCAAACAGCTCAAGTCCACATGGGCTGAGAAGCTGAAATTAGAAGGCGACCGCTTTAAGATTCTGTTTTCGAGCTATCAGATGACAAGATTGACACTTTTAGTTTGGCTTACTTACATATGCGACTATTGGGGCTTCACTGTTGCAGGTGAGTTGCACATTTGTTCTCTCGATGATGTATACTGATTCCGTTAGGCTCCTACCTTCCACAGATTTTGGCCGTAAAGAATGGCGCCCTTGATCTTTCGCTCCGCTACACCTACCGCTCTTACATTTTCATTTATCTTCCCGGAGTTCTCGGAGTTGTGCTCGGAACTCTGTCTTATCGTGCATCACGAGTGGGCCGCAAATGGACAATGGTGGTTTCCTCTGCGCTCATGGGCATTTCCATCTTCCTCTTCAGTAGTGTCAACTCGGCAGCTTCGAACATTGGCTTCAACGTCATGGAGTACTTCTTCCAATCCATGTTCAACTCGGTCTTGTACGGTTGGACACCCGAGGCTTTTCCGGCACCTATCAGAGGCACGGCATGCGGTATCGCGAGTTTCTGGGGCAGGCTGTTCGGCATTATCAGTCCACTTATTGCACAGCATTTGTATGCTGGCGGTGGTGCAGGGAGGGACATCAACAGTGTTTTATATCTAGCTGGAGGAGTAACACTGGGCTGTGTCATCACGACAGCCCTGTTACCCAGCAAGCTTGTCGGCCGGCAGAGCTTGTAGGAAACCGGATGTGTGGGGTCTGAAGGAGCTCTGGAACGGAAGGGAGGGATATGTCTAAACGTGACCGCTGCTAGAGATACCCGCTACACTAAGTAGCATGCATTATTAGAAGAAGACAAGCAATATACGGGTAGCACAATTCAAAACAGCGAGTTTCCTAATCAAGACAATCTGAGTTCGACCCGAAGGCATCCACGAACGTGGCTGACCAGAGCTCGTATAGCTTGCAGATGTCGCATGTCTTTCAGTTTCTTCAGTTGAGTGCAAATCGGACACCTTGAACTCCTCGACGCCGCCCAATGCTTGTACACGTTACTTCATGATCATAACTTCGTCTTCCCCGTCACCTCTGCTCGCCTCTGCTCCATCACATAGCCACTCGCCACTGGACTCCAGCCTTGACTAGCGGCTTGTGGTATGGGAAACGGCGGCTTTTTCAGATTTTGCGTGAAGAATACCGGATGCCGTATTGCGCTGTCATAGACGGGTGTGAAGAAGGTAGCTGGCGTTTGTGGGGGGCCAAAGGGTGGCATAGCTTCGATTTGTGATCGTGGTTTCGAAACGTTGGTGAATGGGTTTGAAGGCTGCGTTGTAGGTTGTTGCGAGGCTTGTGATGGCGGATGCGCGGCGCGTCGCTGTTGGTGCGCGAATGAGGGTGTTGCGGGTTGCTGGTGAGGCTGCGATCTGTCAGCAAGTCTGATAAAACTACCACTGTAGACGACATACTTTTGGCCTCGACGGCTGCAAACTAGGGAACATCTCAGGTTACTCGCATGAGAAGGGCTAGAGCCTCCATCTGTCGTGCGTAACAATTATGCGGAGACGCCATCCCTCACATACCTCGGCAGACCAAGCGACCGCGCGCGACGTCATTCCTACTTCGTCTTCGCGGACACGGACACTTTTCCGCTACGTCAAACACCACCAAATGCAGGCCATTTATCCCGTTCCAACATGAGTGCAACAACACCGCGATTCCGAAATGCGAAGACCGCAAGCGCTGTTCTCCGCAGCCACAAGATGTGCAAGACTTGGAACTTCACGTCGGCTTTGTTCGTCGTCGCCTATCGTTAGAATCGCCAATGGCACGTTTTACCGCCAACATCCTTCGTCAAAAGATCAAGATGCGGCTTCAAACCCGCCGTTGTTCTCGGGTCTTACGTTAGATCTACCATCCTTCTCAACGCCGAAACAGCATTGGGCGGTTCTAAGCCCATCATCTGACATTCGCACGGCGTTTCTCCAAATCCTTCGCGGTCAACTACTCTGCTTCCCCCCAACAGCGCGGTCTTTCCCTTACCTTCTCACCCCAGCCATCACAGAAAACAGACCGCGCCTCCGCTTCCCCGAGCGAGCGATCGAGTATGTGGGCTTCGATGTTGAGCGGAAAGCTTTTGGTGGCGCCTATCTGTCGGCACGCTATGAGTCCCTAAGAGAAGATACCGATTTCACTGTCCAGAGATACCTGACGGGTATCGTAACGATGAACCCTGGAGAAGAGGAATTGAAGGCAAAGAGCGTGGATGAAGATGACATGAAGAGGGTAATGCGGGATTTGGAACTAGAGAGGTTTATCGACAAGCCTGTCAGTATGTTGAGCAATGGGCAGAGCAGACGGGCGAGAATTGCGAAGGCATTACTGAGTAGGCCCGAGATGCTGTGTCTGGATGCGCCGTTTAGTGAGTCTTGACTTTGTGCTGCTATTGTATTCTTGGATAGAGTAAGCTAACAGCATGGTAGTTGGGCTTGATCCTGTTGTCACAAGGCACATCTCCAAGGTTTTGCATCGTCTTGCGGAAGCCAACGCACCACGTGTTGTTCTCAGTCTACGACCGCAGGACGATGTTCCTGGCTGGATTACACATGTTGTGTACGCTGGGGAAGACGGAAAAGTTAATAGGCTGGGGCCAAAGGAGGAGGTGTTGAGGTATCTGGAAGAGAAGTACGAGGAAATTGACAGTCTTAGGGATGACGAACAGAGCTCAAGCATCAAAGACACAAGGAAAGCAGGACAACAATCAGGAAGAGACGACTCCAAAACATCGCCAGGTACGCCGGCACTGAGCCGAGACGGCTACGAAAGAGTGGATACCTCTATACCTACTATCGGAGAACCCGTCGTCGAGATGCAAGGAGTACGCATTGCCTATGGCCAGAACTCTGTCTTAGGAGACTGGGAACAGGAAGTCAATGGCGTTTCTCGATCCGGTCTTCATTGGGATGTGTGTCGAAATCAACGCTGGGGTATATTTGGGGCAAATGGTTCCGGAAAGACCACTCTCTTGTCCCTTGTGACATCAGATCATCCACAGACTTACTCTGCTCCTGTAAAGCTCTTCCAGCGCTCTCGCTTACCCGAGCCCGGCGTCCCCGGCATAACCATTTTCGAAATACAGTCGCGGATGGGTCATGCGAGTCCAGAGGTTCATGCACTGTTTCCGAAGAGACTGACTCTGAGAACAACATTGGAGAGTGCATGGGCTGATACACCAATCACAAAGCCGAGACTAGATGGACAGGCGAAGAAAAGAGTGGATGCATGCTTAAACTGGTTTGAGGCGGAACTTAGACCTGGATTCGGCAGCTGTGAGAAAGGTAGCGAGACTACTGCATGGGCATCCAACACTCTGTTTGGCGAAGTTTCATTCTCAGCTCAGCGCGTCCTCTTATTCCTGCGCGCCACGATCCGGAATCCTGATATTGTTATCCTAGATGAAGCGTTCAGTGGCATGGACGATCTCGTTCGGGACAAATGTCTTTTGTTTCTCAGTCGCGGTCAGAGTATGGAACTCAAATCCTCAGCCGACGGACCAAAACCGGTGAAGTGGCAGGGTGAGGTCGAAATGCCCGGATTACAAGAACACCAAGCTTTGCTTTGTGTCAGCCATAGTAAACACGAAGTACCTGGATGCATACGAGAATGGATTTGTCTACCCGAGCCAGGCACGGGACCGCCGAGATTTGGTCGATTTGATGGGCCTGTTGAATTGGACGCCGGACGTTGGAATGAAGTCTGGGACGAAGAGCTGTGAACATTCACACTCTATTGAGACGGAGTAGACATCCAAGCTTCGTTTCTCCAAATCACATCAAAATCCACCATAGATTGCGTGCCGTTCACACTCAGTACTCTTATATTGTATCAGTTATGCTAGTAGTGGCCATTGGTGCATGATACAGGCGAAAGAAGCTAAAATGAAGCTTCCAAAACTGTTGTAGACGCGATTTGCGTTCTGAGAAGACATCGAAATCAGAAAAAGCCAAATAGAACTGTTCACAAATTGTATCTGGCGACGGCATACGTACCATCTATTGCTCATCTTTGCTGCTATTACTCGTTCGCTTTTTCTCTCCCAGCTTTTCCGATCTCTCCAATATCTCGTCCGCAAGTCTTGCCAGATAAAACTTGGACACATCGGCTGGTAGATCTCTGAATGCTTTGACAATCTTCTCCACATCTCTTCTACCATTCTCATATGCTTGTAAGTCTCTATTCCCGTACACATCCTTACCTGCTGCGTACCCTTTCTCCAGTCCCTTCCAGAATACGTTGACTGCCACGCTAACGCCGTCTTCCGGTGTGGCTGTATGACTCCACATGGGTGGTATGTACAGGATGTCACCGGGCTTAAGTGAAGCAACGTGGGGATGAGTGCGCCGAAGCTTAGGGTTTTTAGAGGTCAAGACATCGATATTGGAGGACGAGCCACCAGGAGGAAAGCCCAGTAGGGACACATCGGTAGGCGGATAGAGAAGTAGGGTTTTTGAACCGCGGATCTGACAGAGGATGTTGGAGAGGACGTCATAGTGTAGCCATAAGGTCACAGGCCCAGAGATGCGAAGGGGTGAGCTGTGATAGTTCTCTCGAACTATGTTGCACAAAGTGGGTATACGGAAATCGTTGGAGATTGTCGGAAAATCTTTTTCAAGTTTGGTGGGCAGCTTGTTCGGCTGACTTGATGACACAGCACGAAGATACGCATGAGACCCTTGTGCTATCCCGCCCAGAAAATCTGAGACCGATCTCTTGATGTACGAAAAGTTCTTGTCCTTGAACGTCATCCGGTCTGAAGAGCACTCGTGTATGACGAGTTCCCTTTCTGGGCCAAGTTTCTCTGTCAGGTAGTCAAGTGTCCATAAGTCTGTGCACGGACCGATATCGAGGCCTTCGATGATGGCCGGTTTCAACGACGCCGTCAGCTTCGCAAAGTCATCTGACGACTGGATTTGCACTCTGGTAATCTCAGTAGTACGTGCAGCAGTAGCAGGTCTCTTTCTCACTTTCGCTTCCCCCCGTTGGCTTCTAGTCGTCGTTTCAGCAGTGCTCGCTTGTGCTGTGCCTTCTGTGCCTTCTGTGCCTGCTGCGCCGCTGACCTGACTCGGCACAACGCGACGCCATGGCTTAGCCCCTTGTGAAGGACCGGGAAATATGGTCATCGGTTCTTCGTTCCAGTAGCTTCCCATTGAGAAGCATACCGCCCCCCCTCCTGCAAGCACAATCTCGCCTTGAGATGTTGAAACGGCCCCTACACCCACTAGCAAAGGCCATGCTGTTGGTGGTGAGACCTGCATACTGACGCACTCCACTTCGATTGCCGTGTCCTTGCATTTCAAGAGCAGGAAGTCGTCTGATAGAGAGTGGATATGCTTCTTTGAAACACCTCCAATCAACATCAGGGAATCATTCCAAGGGACTAGATTGGCACCTATACGCGCGCATGCAGAGTTTTCCAAGCTGCTGCGCACATCATTGGTGCGGTGCCTAAAGTTGAGTCGTAGTGTTGGTGTGGCGGAAACGGACCACTCCCACACCGCGTCTTCCACGACCACGCCGCTCTTGTTGGCACCTCCTATCAGCAACCCCCAATCTTGAGCAGAACCGATCGTGGAAATCGCGGCGCCGAAGCGTACAGACGGGCGCGGTCCGTCAACGGGAATGCTGTGCCATCCGTTGTTGGCAGTCCATAAGGCGCAGTAGTGTTCGGCATCGAGGATTGTGCCGTCACTGGCTTTACCACCGAAGACAAAAACACCATGGGTCTGTAATTCCCCATTTCCTAATGTAACAGCTACAGCGCAATGACGATATCGCGCTGGCACAAGGTCATCCACTTTGGTCCAAGCTCCATGAACGAAGAGCCAGCAATCTGCACAAGCCTGGGTAGGCGATCCGCGTCCTCCGACCAACAACGCTTCACCGTTGTGCATTGATGTGATAGTATGGCACATGCGTGCAGTAGGTAGCAAGTCACAAGGCTTGCTGATACGATCCCCGTTGTGATCTTCCCGCCTCAGGACATCCATATCGGCGAGACGAGCACGCGTCCCCTGACCCCCGTGGAAGGCCACCGAGTCCTTGCCAACAGCGAAAGCTGCTGTGAAACGTCGTGGCGTCACGGCACCAGTGGATAGCTCCGGAATCTCAAGGGCTATACTCGGCGCATCGATAGCCTTGCTGCACTCTCCAGTGGCGGCTGCCTCACTGAGGATCGACTCGGGCGTTCTCCGTTGCTCCGCATTCGAGGCGACGAGTAGGAAATAATGACCGCCAAATAGCGCGAATTCTTCCCACTCGTCAAACGGCTCTATAGCATCTAGCCCGCTTCTGAGCGCGGGAGGGGTAAAAGCATCATCGGACCAAAGGTCCCATAGATTACGGGCCATGATTAGAGTGGGCCATCCTGCATTACGAAAACGAGTGGCTTGCTGACTTAGTGATGAATGCAACTTAACCGCGTTGATTGATGCTTTAAGCTTGTCGAAGTGAGACAGCATAGTCCTGGCAAAGGGATGGGCTGGGCCCTGGGGAAGGTACTGTTCTATGTGATATGAAGTCAATAGGAAAGCAATGGTATACATTGGTGAAGGATCGAGTACCTAGTATGCAGAAGCGAGCTGCATTTGTTAGCATGCTACTTTGAGTAGAATTCTTGGAGTCCACGAACCGTCTTCGATGGTACTAGCCCATCGTATAAGTGCATCAGAGTCGTTTAGCGGCATATAGGTGACGGACACCTCGGCGACGAACAGGATCGAGGACGACGGAACATCAAGTTCGGCCCGCAAAAGACGTTCGAGTGTCACGAGGTCTTTGAGGTCACAGCCCAAAGCCATGTATCTGTCACTGCGGAGATATACAGGCTGTTCGGCATGGCGCAGTTTGGTCTTGAGCAAAGCGTCTCGAAGAAGACCATTGCTGAGCATGGTATCCCGTTTCCGTTGCATCAGCTGTGGATAGTCGACGTCTACAAAGGTTGCCGATTGCGTAAGAGGTGCATACCTGTGCCAGAACTGGAATGGCAAGGGGTCGCTTTCAGAGTTTAGTAACTTTTTTTCCCATGTTGCCAGTGGGCGATGAATGTCTTACTCACTATCCACATCCCAAGTTCACAACAATCTTGGGCCTTGAATTACCTTCTTCTAGAAACCGACGGACCGCCTGTTCAACAGCGTGCATGCGTAACCAGTATCCTCGGTTGATCAACGGGTCTTGAAACGCGAGTCGAGCATCAGTGTACGTTCACGTGGAATCGAGGCAGAAGTCACATACTGCGTCGAAGGAACTTTGGAACAAAAGGTTCGTAGAAGTCCGGTTCATGACTGAGATACAACTTGGACACACTCCTTTTGGAAACGATACTGCTGTCATTCGTCTGACGTGGATATTAGTTAGTTGGTTTTGAAGAGGGACGCTTGGCTGAAGAGGCTGGGAAACCTCACGTTCATAATGTCGACATCTCTTCTCTCGCGCAGTGTCTTCTGCTTGCCCTTGGTCCTCGGGAGGACCTTGTTGGGCCGCATAGTGTCTTTGGCCATGTCTCGGATTGGCAGATGTTGCCGACATGGACGTGGGAGAGGAATGTTTTTGTGGTGCACCAGCCACGGCGCGGGGCTTAGCTGACGTCGGGATCCCTGCATGGGCGCGTGAACCATCGTCAGACGGTAGTAGCGGCGAGCAGCGCATAGCTCCAAAGTATCTCCATCGCCCACGCACGCAGGTATACACTCATGCTGATTTCCGCATCGCCATCGCTCGGGCCTGCGCTTACCTCTGTACGCTGCCTATAGGGCTGATCTCTCGCGAACGGCTGCCCAAAGCTCCACCAAGCTCGCACGCGCACATAGTCCCCAAGCTTCGTAGTACGCCCAAGCACGCAGTCGACACCAACACACCGACACGCACGGCAGTCATGAATTTTGTCACATTCAACCAAGACCATAGCCATCTGGGCGTCGGTATGCACCACGTCTACGTCAAGCTTCACCCGTACTGACCAGCCGCTGCAGGCACGCCTAATGGCTACCGCATATACACCACGGACCCGTTCAACAAGCAGTCCGAGTCGCGCGAGGGAGATGTCTCGAGCTTGGAGATGCTCTTCTCGACATCGCTAGTTGCTCTCACACTGTCGCCACGAGTGCTGCGGATACAAAACACAAAGGTTCGTTGGCTAGGCGGCCATGGCTATGCAGGTACTGACACTGTCAAGAGGCACTCGACCATATGTGAGATGACCTTTCGAACAGCCATTCTGGCCATGCGCATGAACAGGAAGCGAATCGTAGTTGTGCTCGAGTCGGAGCTCTACATCTACGATATAAGCAACCTTCAGATGCTCAAGACCGAGAAGACGTCGCCCAATCCGAATGGTACGTCGAGAGAAATGCTGCTCTCCAGTTGCTGACAAGCATAGCGATATGCGCCCTATCCGCATCGTCTGAAAACAACTATCTTGTCTATCCGCTACCCACCAAAGCCGCACCTGCTACCTTCCAGCCGCCTTCGCATGCGCCGCCCAAGACTGATCACATTGCGCCCACAAGCGGAGAGGTGCTGATATACGATGCGACAAAGATGGAGGCAGTCAACGTCATCGAGGCGCACAACTCTCCACTGTCCTGTATTGCGCTGAACAGCGATGGCACCCTGCTGGCGACGGCATCAGAAAAGGGCACCATCATCCGTGTCTTCTCTATACCCGATGCACAGAAATTGTACCAGTTCAGGAGGGGTTCAATACCAGCTAGGATATACAGCATGTCCTTCAATTCCACATCGACCTTGCTCAGCGTATCGTCAGCCACCGAGACGGTCCACATCTTCCGCTTGGGAGCGCCCAACAGCAGAAGCAACAGCGTCTCTTCCGGGCCCAGCAAGCCCATGGGGGCGTCCCATGCGCGCAGCAACAGTCGAGCGAGCCAAGAGACAGAGGACGAGTTCGGTACGAGCACGGCAGATATAACGTCGCCAGAGCGGAAAGCCATCAACCCCACGTTTGGTAGCTTGATACGACGCACATCGCAGACGGTTGGAAAGTCGTTCGCTGCTACTGTCGGCGGATATCTACCTAGCGCTGTAGCAGAGATATGGGAGCCATCGCGCGATTTTGCTTGGGTCAAGATACCGCGCTCGCCCACGAGCTTGTCTTCAGGGCCTGTTAGAAATGTAGTAGCACTCAACAACAACGGCCCTCAGATCATGGTTGTCACGAGCGAAGGCAACTACTATGTCTTCAACGTAGACTTGGAGAAGGGAGGCGAGGGGACGTTGTACAAACAGTACTCGTAAGTGGCTCATCAGTTCACTGTTATTGCCTGGGACATGCTAACGTTGACTGTAGCCTTCTCGAACCGAACGAGCTTGCGGCAAGCAACTCGCAAGATGTGTCAGAGTAGGCGTCGTACCGGTGTCGATGCAGATCTTTCTTATGTCCTTGTTGTTGCATTGCCTGTGGCGCATTTGGTCCTAGATTATTCCCCGTGGTGTGGCGCATATGTTTTTTCAGTAGTACCGTAGTCTCTATTTGCGTGCGGGTGCACACTGAGCAGCTCCTTTGCTCAGCAATATTACTTGCTTTTCTTGTAGCACATGGATGCCAATGGTGATGTCATGGAAGTAGTACAGTTGAAACTTTATCGAGTTTGGCACTTGCATCGTGCATGAACAGATATCGTGAGGCTTGCAGATCAAGATCGAAACAGTCCCGCATGTGCATTAGCGCGCCCCAGACCCCGCCGACGCGTCGTTGGTCGCTGCCTGCTGTCCAAGTACGAATGCAATTGCACCTCTTATGGTTTGACGCTCCTTCATATACACCACTCTCTTACAACACCTCTACCACCTGCCACTGACGCTACAAATTCTCCGGGCCACATCTCACAACCTTGCAGACCCGCAGCACATTCCGGTATCTGCGACTATGGTAACCCAAAATACTACAGGCAACCCGCTGAGCTCGGGTTCGCTCGCTCTCTTCATGGCGACGTCACTACCAAAAGGCGATTCTCCACAGCTCAAGAACGGAACCGAAGCTGTCGCATTGTCTGTCCACGCTGGCATGCTTGCCGTTGGATTCCGTCTCATCGGACTGGGCGAAGACGAGCGCATAGGTAAGCATCCATCTTTTTTTGCTCCGCTCGTCACTTGTCATAACTCGGGAACTCATAGAAGCGCACGCAGACGCTGAAAACCCTGCCGCATTACCCAAAGAATGGAACGCATCCTCTTCATACGCTTTTCGATACGCGCACGCACAATCAGCCATGGAGTACCTTGTCAAAGTCAACAGATTGGGAGGCAAGGCGGTCGTCTACGCCCTGGCGCTGGGCGATGACAAGACTACACATTTCGAAGTTACAACCAAGGACTACATCTCAGAATCACAGCTACCGTTCAGTGTATCTGAAGACGCGTCAACCGAGGACGTGTCGCAGAAGGTGCAAGAGCTCTTCATATCCCCAGGCAGGCTGAACGATCTAGGCTCCCTTCTCAAGATCTCCGTCATCCAGAAACTGGCACCTGGGCTGAACAAGCCAGGATATGAGGAGGCCAGCGAGGATCGAGAACGCACACCCACAGCAGATCAGCAAGAACCGCAACGGGGTCAGCCTGCGAATCCACGACAACCCCCCAACGAGCCGGAGCCTGCGCGGCCATACCCGTTCCATGACCCTCTCGCCGCGCGACCAGGCTCTGGGCGGCATCTACCAGAGCCCATACCCGGCTTTGATGACGAACTGGAAGTAAACCGGCAACCAGGTCGCATGCCTGGTAATAATCCTATCAATATCGGCCACGACGACTTGTACCCACAAGGTCTTGGACCGAACGATCCTCTCAGACCACACTTAGCAGGCGGATTGCCACGGCCTGGTGGTTTCGGAGGTGGCGGTATGCATCCCACCTTCGACGATCCACTGTTTCGCGGTCAAGGCGGACAGGGCGGGTATGATCCAAGAGTACCACCCGGCGCTCGTTACGATCCGATGGGACCTGGTGATCCGCTGAGGGAGGATAGAGGAAGAGGCCCCATGTTCCCAGGCGGAGGAGGCTTTGGCGGACCTGGTGGTTTCGGCGGAGCAGGTGGACGACCGCCAAATCCATTCGGTGGCTTTGGCGATGGAGACTTCATCTGAGCGCTTCGCAAAAGTCTGCATGTACGAGACGTGAGACGATAGGTCGAGAAGATACGAGGAAAGACTCACGAATGACGATTGAAACGGCAAAAACATATGGTGTAAGTAATTTGAGTGCATGCGGCACAGGCAGGGCGGTGCTGGCTGCGCCACTCCAACACCGCATCTGGGTGCTTGCGTAGGTACGATAAGTATGTAAATGAATATGTAATATATTTAGAATTTCCGACATTCACACCCGAATATGTTGTGCATTCATACTTGTTTTGCGTCGCTACGCGCCAGATGCACTCAGTTGAGCATTAGCACTGCGGCTTAGATATGTATAACCCGCCTGCATATGTTGACCGTGGTTAGAGAATATCTATAGAGATTGGTTGCCTGACCACCGCCAGTCTGTTCCAACCATGAGCTTCAAATAGATTGTCGTATGGCGTAGTAGAGTATGCAACAATGCATGGCTGTGAGACGTGTGAAAGTCTTCACATGACTGCGGTACTTCTACAGCCAATAAAGTGCCCCTTGATGCATGTAGAACGACTGCTGTAGTCACTGCTGACTGTTTATGCCGTATACCAGAACCTGCGTGTATGTGTGTAGTAGTCCTTCGTTCCGAAACAGTGACACATCAACGCCCTCAGAACTAGTGATTGGACAGAGGTTACGAAGATTTGAGCAAAGGGATGTCTCGCTTGTGCTGGACCGCCACTGTGCAGACCCCAGAAAAGTCACTCCACCACTTTCAAAGATTGAGACTCGAGCGATCAAGGAAGCTCTTTGCCAATCTAAGATGGGATCCCTGATCCTTTTTCTTTTCGTGTAGACTATGCAGCAATGCGATCTAGTCCCCCCCACTAACGATACCAATACTGTTCCCATGTAAAGAAAATGAGGCGCATAAGAACCTCGTCCATACGCAAGGGTTGACCCGATACGTGAAAGGCGCAAGTTATCCACGTGCTTCACCGCTCAATCTCGTGGCTTTCTAAGGGGCAGGTGAAAGGTAGAGGCGATGGAAGTTTTTCCCCTTGCATATTTGGAATGTTCTTTCGACGCGGGGCGGACTCATGGTCTCTCCATGAGGAGAAGCTTAGCGAGGAGGGTGACGATGACGAGCTTTACAATAGCTTTGGCACACGGTATGCTACCCATTCTGATTCGGCTCCGAAACAAGGTCGGAAAGGCGAATGGCGGCTCACTGACTCGTTCTCTTCACTGTCATTCATGGATATACCTTGGGGTAAGGAGGTTTATTTACCGTCTCGTTGGGTTCGCACGGCATGTGAGACCAAAGGGTCACCCTGAGTGTGGTGGCGATCAACAAACACTACCGGTGGCTCGAGTAGCGGCTGATTGTTCATGACTGGTGGCTGCTGAATCACTCATGCAGCTTCGCAGTAACTACCTCCATGTATCTAGCATATCTTAATGAAGAGTCAGACGCCTTTTGGTGTGATACTAGGCCCCAGTGTTTGATATCAAACTGTGTGGGGGCTGAGAACGCGCTTGTGCAGTGCGTCTCTAGACGCGAAGGAAGAATTCAGTGACAACGACATGACATCATAGCATGGAAAGACAGGTGATTGCGGTTGTCACAATGATCAGCATACTACTGTTGAAGAATCGGCGCACTTTGCTTTTGCCGCTGCGTAGAGGGTGATGGATGTGCTGCCTGCTGCCAGATGGCAGCCTCACCCGCGAGGCACAGAAGCTTACCTACACTTCCTCTTGTTCCCGCAAGGCTGTCTCAGCCCACTTCCCCTCTTTTCTTGGCCGTGTCTTTCTTTCGATGGAACCTGACGAATGCCAAGGGCGCCATGTCTTGCCTTCGGATCCGAAGATATAGGCCCGAGGTAGTGTACATGGTACTCCGGATACAAGTGGAGGGTTTGAAACTACCATTTAGCGTGCAATGCTACCCAAGCCGCCTGGAAATGTGAAAATTTCGGATGCCGGCTTCCTGAGCCCTGTCTGCCGCGAGCCGTCACGGCGTCTAAGCGCGAACGGCTGAACCGTTAAGAAGGTAAATTTATCGCCATTCACATCCAACATCAACACGTACAATTGGCCCATCGCTTGCCGGGTTTGGGTGCCACCTGGGCTAGATAAACTAATATGCATTGGATCATTCCACTCGATTTATGCAATTATCCATCTTTTGTCTCATCCTACGAGCGGAAATGGGGCTAAATGCAGGGCGGTTGATGATAACATTGTGCGATGCGGATCGGCAGACGGTAGGCGCGTAATCAATGGCTACGAGGAAGCACAGCACGCTGCACGTGGTGGTGATAGTCACATACCAAACGGAGGATTAGAAATGTCCTATTCTCATCTCTCAAAGTCGCGATGATCCGGCTGTGACCGCTGTTGCGCATGGACTCTTGCCTGTGATGGGTCATCGAATTGGTACTACGGTGGCTACTAAAACCTCCTTTCGCAAATTCTCTGTCTACGAATGAAGCTGAATAGCTCGAAAAATTTCGCACTGCGTGAAGCACCTCGTCGGGGCTCGTAGATAGGTGCGTGCCGACGTGGTTTGGCGAAGGAATCGAGTCTGGATTGGTGTAACAATGTGTGTGAGCGCCGAGAGATCGCTACCAGTCTGCTGGATATGTTATCATCTGAGGTGCAGTATGCGAGCAACGTAGCCCGATATCGATGTCTAGTGATTTGTGTTTTCGACGCTCGTACGATAACTAGGCAGGAAGCCAGGGTTGTGCTTCCCCGCAAGCGAGATGAGGAGATCCAGGTTCATCCCCCACGGAGGTTTCCTGCCTGCGCTCGGTTTGCGTTCATCGTTTGCTTTGATCGGGCGGCACAGTTTCGCGCGCACACTGAGTCGACGATCTCGGAGGAACATCTGTTTGTGGAAAGTGAACGGTCGCGGGAGTTTCCAGCTGCCGTACCGATCTGGCTGTGCCGCAACGTTGTAAGATTGCAAAGGGGGCCGGGGATGTTATCGGACGATACTCACGCTCCAACGTCTTTTGCTTGACGCTTGACGCTGGACAAGGCTGTTCTTACAAACGTCGAAAGGTACAGCAACAATGTCGGACGGCAGCCTCCCAAAGTGCCGAAGCCAGGCAGACGCCGCAGGTAGGTCTGCCAAGAGCCCTAACTATTTGAAGACGGTCTCCGAGCCCAGTGAACCAGGCTGTGAGGGTCAACGGAGATGCCGCCAGCATTATTCGCGTGCAAGGCTAGGAGAGTTACTACGGTGTCATGAGGGTGACGATGTTTTCGAACCGATAGCCCGAAATGCATATCGCGCTTTTCATCACTGCTTTTTTATGGCCAAAACATACACACATATGCTGCATCAGAGAGAGTTATCTTTTTGAGTCATGAAAGTGGTCAGCCTCGTTTCAGTCACCGTTCCTGGCGTTGGAGTTTTTGGTGGGCGTGTGCATGATGTGCAGACTAACTGCAAAGGGTATGCACCTCGCTGCCTTCCTCTTCGATCGTGGAAGGTAATCTGCCAAGTAATCAGGGTTGCAGTCGGATCCCAAGCGTACCCAGCTCCCGGAATTTGGGGTGGGTTTTGCATAAAATTAGTGTCGCAAGAGAGTGCCAGATCCAGTCCGGCTTACATCTGTATGCGGTAAGCAGACCGTGCGTTCTGTAGTCCTATTGGCCGGGGAAGAGGCAAGCCGTACCCGGAAATAGTAAGCTGTCTTGGGCATTTCTTACGGTTGATTCGTGGTATACAAGAGGTACCCTGATGAGCCTCCAACGGGCTCCGGAGATATGTGACATAATTCTCCGTTTCGGCGCCACACGAAGAGACATAGTACTCCGAATGAATTATGAGAACGGGCGTTTGGAGAATTCATCGTCAAGGCATTCTCCTGCACTAAGCAGAGACACACTTTGTACCCAGAGAACGTTGTACATTGTGTGTTCTAACTACAAGGCCTCGGAATCGCAGATTGAGGACAGAAAGCCGATCGATAGCTCCACCGGCGCTGCAAGGTATCGTGGCCTGCCGCTAAGCGTATGGCGCCGGCATTCAAAGCCACCGCGAAAGTCAGGCAGAAGACGTATGAATGTGGAGACTGTCACAAGCGCTCCACAGCAGATCGATATAAGCCGCTAGCGCCATGTCTTTGGTTGATGTGAACACAAAGAAAGTATTTGCTGATGAACGAATAAACGGGGGGCCTGATCAGCTATGACTTCACGCACCTTTCGCTCTACGTAGTCCACGACGAGACAAAACGGTGTAGAAACCAAAAATCTTACCGAAAGTGAATGAGGTCCGGATATACTTCGTTTGCGCTCAAAGTTAACTTGGATAATCGATAAGTTCCGCAGATGCGGGGCATGAGCCTCCTAGATGTGACGTTGTTTTTAGCTGCGTTTGTACGCAACTCTAGCGAGCCGGCGTCTATCGCGGAGTAGAGGCGCGGCTACACATCGCTAGCAGGGGTTTTGCGGCTCGCGCGGGCAGCGGAAGCTCCATGTCTTTTAACGCCTTACCGATCGACTTGGATCCCCCAGAAGCGCCGCTTAGCGCTTTGCGAGGTGCGATGCGCACCGGATGGCGCCAGCAAGAGTGCGTGCATACTCATCGCGTGGTATTGCTTTCGGTGTATCCAGTGCCATGTGTGTGGTTTCCCAGCGATCTGAACACGATGTATTGAAGTTGCCGTGCACGCCAAACTTGTTGTTCCAGCCGTTTGCTTTGTGCGTGATGTTACAACGAGGAAATTGACGGTTTGTCAAATTGTAGCCTCGTTGATACTTACACTATCCGAGCAAACCGTTCAATCCGCCTTCAGGCTTTTTATGACATAAGGGCGCGACAAGTGGCCTTGCCAAGTAAGTACCTGAATACCTATGCGCCTTGGGTTGCGGGAGCAACCCAGGCCATTCATCCTACGCACATTGTGCGCAGATCCTGCATCACGTTATTACACTTGTCTAGAATTTGGTCCTTCGGGCCAGGTTCACGGTGATGCGCAGCCGCGACTTACAGACAGCCATCTGGGCCGCTAGTTGTTTGTTCATGGAACAAATTGTCTGTACATATTCCATCCAAAAGAATCATGCAGCTGAAGACCAAACGAGGTCGAATTTGTTTTGTACACTACGATCAACTATTGCATCTATCTTCCCATAAGTACGGGGCAGTAGATTGCTTGAGAAATTGCTGACTGCGTTAGTTGCATCTGAACTTTCCGGTCAACTCATTGCAGGCACCTAATAGGTTGCACATTACAGTTGGTTGTATATTGTTGAATTTGAGTGACCAAGTCAACGGTACTGCTTGAGTTGCGCACGGTGCAATGTTGCAGCGAACGAGACTCGACGCTGTAGTACAAAAGGCCCACGCATGTCAGCGACGACCCGTCGTAGGACCTGGCGGAGACAGGCTCGAGCTCTTTCAGAATGGTACTAAGTCAAACGAGTTCAACTATGAAAGCTGGAGCGATTCTGGTATAGGCAGGTCATTAGTCCCCATCAACACATGCAGACCGTAGAGTCAATGTGGAAGCAACTGCGAAGAGGTGCCGACGTTGCAGTGGCCTGAACAGCGACCTAATTGTTGTGCATTGCAGCAGAATGTCTCAGTCGAGGTAGTGTTGGCCAGTATACATTGAGGGTCCGGCCCGGACAGGCGACATGTTTCTCGATCCCGCGGCATAGAAAACGTCCAAGGCCGAATGGCTAGCCGGAACGGGATGTGAAGGTCCCGTATCTTCGCACCCGAGTATCGTCACTCGCATCAAATGAGCGTCACCTGAGTGGCGCCTGGAGCCAGAGCACATCTTGCTTGATTCGGCTCCCTTGGATTCGATGCCGTCATGTGGAATTGGATGGGGTTGAGCCAGACGCTGATCGCATGGCCTGCATCAGTGTGGAAGAGAGGAAAGCATCTTAGGGGCCAAAAAGCGCGCAGCCGCGGGCTGGCTGCGACCCAGAAGCCCGGGTTAGGCAGCAGAAGGCCGTTATTGCGACGGGTTCTAGGTTGACGCAAAGCGAAGGGTAAGCGAAAAGAGACGCGTCGAAACGAGGGTGACAGAACGGGGAGGTCGCTGGAGGATCATGGTGGGAGGAGCCTGGCTGCCGTGACGTAGGGGGACTAGCGCTGCGGCCAACGAGCCGACATGGCTCGAGCCAGATAAGACCAGGCCAGACGACCAAACAATAAGCGCCCATGACGACGCTATGCGACTAGTCTTTGGAGTAGACGGGTAAGTTGCAGAGACAACTTCCAGGGTTAATATGTGATGTGGGTCGCGAGCCATGTGTGACATGGCAACAACACTCCAGCATCGCATGAGTAACAGCCGCCTGCTGTCCTTGTTGCCGTAGCTGCTCCGGACTAACCCTGAACTGAAGTGACAGGTAGTAATATAGCCTGCAAAAGAGCATCCTGCGTCTAATTAGTAGCACCATGGGCCCGTCCGCGAGCTGCATCGCCGTGCCACAGCCCCAGCGTGTCGTTGGCCAGTCAGGTGCGGCCTGCGCGAAATCTCTCACAGCGAGGGCGCTTAATATGCACAGAACCTGCAACATTTCACAAACAGATCACATCCATGTAGTTTTAGCCTGCCTGACAAGGGCCGCGCTTCGTGGCTTGCGGTAGTGATCCCCGGTGTATCCCCGACGCAGGTGGGTTGTACAGAAAGACGTTATGGGCAGTGCCGGCTTATTGCAACCAGTCTGTAGGAATCGATCTCGGTGGCGTCCTTGAAGTCACCCTGGACCGCCAAGGCGTCACGCTAGACGAGCTGTTGATGATTTGAGTTTTCTGCATCGCAGAGGAGTCCTGAAGCAGTTGCAAACAAGCGTGATCATATTCGCATAGGAAACGAGAGGGCCATCATGCGATGAAGCTAGGCAACCTCACTACGTAACTGCAGTCTGTCTATCGCTCTCACATTCCTTGGAGCGCACCAAAACGCCGTAATACAGATGCCCACCCACGCAGTACAAACATAATCTTCAAGTCAATCAGCAATAAGAATCTCCACCTCCCCTAGTATAAGCTGTGATAAAACCAAATCGCTTCGAGCATGCTCCTCCGTGCTGTATATGCCAATTGCTTCGCTATGTCAAGCTCCAGCGATCGAGTAGGAGTCGCGTGGCAGCTGAGTCCGATCTGCATTAGAGTTTCGAATGTCCGTAACTTGTGTCTTCCACCGACACCTGATTGCGGCTGGGGCACCCATCCGTCTTATGTCTAAGCATTTATTAGGAAGATGAAAGGAATAAGTGCTCGAATCGTTACTGACCTACTGAGCGTGTCTTTGCGTGGAAAGGCAGCGGCGCACTTGGGACAAACGTGTGGTCTGACGTCCGTATGCACGCTTTGATCGTGTCGAGCTAGATCGGTCTTGCGCACAAACTGTTTTCCACACTCAGGGTGCGGGCAGATATGCGCCCTCTGGCGATACGAGTCATGCGTGAGCATGTGTTGTCTGAGGTTGTATTTCCTTGCGAAGCCCCTCTCAGGGCAAAGCTCGCAATGGAATGCAGCCTTAGCAGGGTCAGTGTGTCTACGATTGCGGGCCCGTCTGCGATTTACCAACGACGCTGTGTTGGCATACCGGGTGGTTTGTGCAATCTGGGCTTGTGGGCTACTACGGCTGGCCATCAAAGGTGTCCTTTCGTAAGTACGGCCATCGCAGCTGTACATCGGCTCAGGCTCGTACTTAGACATGACAGGCTCTGGGTATGTATGCTCGTACGGATACATAGTCGAGCTGAGCCGCTCTGGGGCTACGGTAAGTGGTTGCTGCCCCGACGGAGGTCCACTCATTGTGACTGGCGCTTCTGTACCGTATCCAATATGAACTGATGAATTCCATGAAGAAGCCTCCATCTTCAAATCAGGGTACGCCGAGGGCTTTGGGCCACTGGGCGAATAGGCGGCAGAAGACATGGCGCGCGGGCTGTATAGTGGTGGTGATGTGGGAGGTGAAGGTTGAGCGGAACTCCACGGCACTGGCGAACGAGAGACTGGATGGTCGAAAGCTCCTGAAAGGTACGGCTCTACGATAGGCTCTGCAGAGGCATCGTTTGAATAATGGCCACCCCAACTTTCCGATGGTTGAGGTGATGGAGGCAGAGCGTTTTGTACTGATTGTACTTCATATAGACCAAGACCGTGAGTGTAGTTGGGTCGCGACTCCTGTCGACCTGGTGAAGGATAAGGCGATTCAAGTAGGGAGCCTGTCCGTGACGTGTGTTGTTGGTAGGGCGAGTTGAAGGGTGGCGTAGGCTGGTCCGCGTACGAATACATGATGAAAGGGTATGAAAGGGATTGATGCAAACCGCGTAATAGGTCTTTGAAGTTGAATAGTTTGGCGAGGAATGAAGGTAGGCAAAGATAGGAATGATGTGGTAGAAGCTGGGTGAGGATTTCAGCTGCAGGGCGTTCCGGGACGAGTTATATCTGTGCGATGCAAGATGCAACTTAATCCAAGATGGAACCGATTTGTATGCTGCGCCAGTGCGTTCTCAAAGAGTACATCCAAACAGTGGGCTTCTGGGTGTTAGGCAGATTCTGAAATTATGTTAGACCGGGCAGCATGAACAGGGAGCTCGAGCCGCCTACGCGGCAGGCGCCTGTTAGCTTCATGGGGCTATGAAAAAGTGGCAGGGGCGGAGGATGCTGGCTCGACTAGGGTGAGTGGGTAAGTGAACCAGACGGTCGGGTAGCTAGACCTTAGCGGGCCGAACACAGCATCCTTGCTCCGACCGGAGCTTGAGGCGCAAGAGGAGAGGGAGGCCGTACCCTTGCTCGATGTGCATCCCCATGAAACTGCCCAGTCTGGTGAAGGATGTCTTTCCTGCATCTGCCGTTGATCATTCAATGAGGTGTGGCCCAGATGCCGTTGTTACTGTGAGACACCAACATCTCATTTCCATACACGCTTGTTTGAGCAGCTTTTGCGACGGACAGATATCATCATCTTGATTTTTAACCGGATTCACGGTGCTCGTACCTAGCAGAGTGTACCTATATTCCCGCGGCTGCAAGCGCCGGCCATCAAGCGACCGATGTGCTCGCTTCGCGTTGCTGTTGGGCCTGTGACACCATCGCAGTAAGTTCTTCAACTTGCGCCGAAAGCTTGAGGACTAGTGTCTTCAACTGAGCATCTGTTTCTGTAAACCCTGCTGGAGCCTGATGCTTGTGGGGCCTCCTTCCAGGCATATTTGGTGCATCTGCCATCAGTAGGCGTGGCGAATTGACAGGCAACCGGAGAGCCTTTCTGGGCAGCGTAGGTGTTTGCGGTCCACTGAAGGACGTCACTTTTACACGGCGATTCCGGGTGTCGGTAAGTTGCTCAAAAGCCCAGATTGCAGAGACGAGAGGTAAATGCGTAGCCTTCAGTAAGACGATCCGAACACTCCTAAGCCGCTCCGAGGGAAAAACGAGCCGCAAAGGTCGAATGACTAGCGGGATGAGGTTCTGGAAGCCGGTCAGCCTTGCAAATGGCGGGCACAGTCACAAGTTCCAATGCATCGTGGGTTTGCAGGGGTTCACTGCGTCCTTGAGTCGAGAAAGCCTGAGCGGCAGAACAAGGCTTGCCAGTGAAGTGACATCGGCAGAGCATCCGCCGACGATACTGTCCCTACGAACAGACCAGGAAGCTTTGACTGATTGGTTCTAAGCGCATTTTCCACGATGGTCGCAGAGGCTGTGTCGATTGGCCGTTGCACGACCCGGCGCTTAACGCCCGCTTTAACCTCCCGATGATAGCACTGAATCACACACTTACCAGTGGAGGCAGAAAGTACGTCAATCTGTTTGAACTTGATGCTTCGAGCACATATACGGAGTAGCTATACCGTTAGTGCTTTTCGAGCGGCGCATTGCGATTGTATCAACGTACATGAAGAGATACTCGTCTCGCGCATGATCCAAAACCTTTTCCTCGTCAATATCGATCCCTTTGAACGCAATATAGCAAGAGAAAATGTGGTATAGCCTGTTGTTCACAGGCGGCAGGGTAGGAAGTAGCGGTCATGGTTGTGGGTTTGCAAAGGTGTGGCTGTATCACACATCCGAAACACCAACCGGAAGAAACCAAATGCGCTTCCCGATGTGAGTGCCCTCTGGGGAGAGTGCGGATAGAGATGGCGCAGTGTTGGCCGTTGTGCTGCTATACTTGGCATGCATAAACATGCATGCAACTTTGGGAATGCGGAGTAATGAGAAATGAGAAATTCAAGTACCTTACTCAACGAGTTACTCAGGAGCGATATCAAGGATGTGATGAGAAGTATGTTCGTCAGAGTCACGAAGATCAGCTAGCGTGTATATCAGCAGACTGTAAAGTAATGCATTCCAAATAGTCGTCTCACCATAACGGGAGGACCGAAGAACGGCGAGCTATGCAGGGTTAGCCAACCATCAACACTACTGTTCGGCGAAGTACGTACATCTCTTCGGCGACATCTGCAGACGGCTGTTGTCAGTCACTAGTCATGGAGGCGGTGAATGCCTTCTTGGTCGTTGTCTGGGATTTGACTCACCGAATCCTAGGTAACTAGAACTGGAGGAGCATTAGCTGGTGTGGTAACAGCAGCAACGTCGGTTCGCTTACCCGAAGAAGACCTTAATCAGGATCCAACCCTACAATGTACCAGTCAATGGATTGCACATTGGTAACCTCGATGGAACAACTTGCCATTTGCTTGGGGTTGAATCTGCTATCACGAGCTAGCAGTACGAAAGTAGTCAAGAAACCTGTTTTTGGTAAGCATTGAACAAGACTGCTTCACTATCGAATGGCTTACCTAGATACAAGATTACTACAAGGGACAAAAACTTGACGAAATCCTTGGTCATCTCCTTGAGGCATGGGATGAGGGTTCCAAAGTAACGATTGAGACTCAAGAGAGCAAAGATGCGGGGCACAAGGAAAAGAGCCTCTAACCCGAGTACGTCGTATGCGAGATCGATGGTTGCAGCGTTGGACGTAGTCAATCCAACGATCCTCATAATGCAGAACACTAAGCCGACGACAACGATGCTGATGTCCCAAGTCCACCAGAAGTCCGAGGCGTAGAAGGAAGTCTGCCCCGCATCAAGCCAATCGGCAAATTCGTCGTATGCGAAGCTGGCAATCCATACGTAAAGCAGTATCTCAGGGACGGTGACCCTGGTGTTGTTGCGCTGCACCAGCACTGCGTAGTATAATCCTAGAAATGCCGCAAAGAACAGTGTCTCGAATATCTTCAGATATAGTGGGACGCGTAGACGTGAGAATGGATCGGCCTGTTTCCGATTATATTTCTTCGGTTTCTTCTCCGAATGTAGATTGAGGGTCTCCCAAAACACGATGTCGCCCTTCCACAAGCCGTTGATGATCTTCTGGACTGGTCTTTGTGATAGGAACTTTTTCGCACCGGACACAGTCGCAAGTTCCAGCGCACTGAGGTTCTCGCATCGCGACATCAATGAGCCGAAACGAGATCTGGAAGAGTCGCTGTGCCCAAAATAATCGCCATTGGATACTGGCAGCAGAGGCGACCGCTCGTCCGCATGTGGGACATCGCGTCCGTCTTCGTACGTATGATGGTGGCTCGATGCATCTGGAGTGTTCGGGGCTGTTGCAGGCGGGAGTTCTACTAGTAAAGACTCGATAATGTCTGCCTCTTTCAGATTCGTCAAGAACTGCCAGGCGACGAATTCGCATGCATAGCCTCGCGCCTCATTTACACCAGGTTCGTCGCTGGCTTCCTCCAAGGCTGAGAAATGCCCTTTGAGGGCGCTTGAGGCTAGTCAGCTCTTATCACTCGTTGGCGTTCCATTGATCTGGTATGGGTTGCTTCGACGTACAGGAGAGCTGACACGAGGGCAGAGTGATCGACTTGGGTAGACAAATATAGGATGAGAGGCTGGAGGGCCTTCCCCTCTTGCGATCTACGCAAGTCTTCGAACGTATGCGGCGTCTTGATGGTATGCTCAAAAAATCTGAACTCGGGTCAGGTTGCTGAGTGACGCATTCACATGCATGAACTGACTGGCACAACTTGTCCGCCAAGTCTCCGAAGCACTCGTCACCGACTATATCAGGCACACCCGTTTCATCTGCAGGCCATCTTGGCGTGGACGGCATTGACATGGTCGAATATCCTCTGGGTAGCTTGCAATCGAGAGAGTCCTGTGTCATAGGGCCTCTGCAAAGATTCGCGACGCGTCCGCGGTGGGGACGCGGATGTACCCGCTATGGTCATAGCTTTCTTGGCAGCCATCCCTCTTTCCTTTTGCTTTTGATCTCGTTTGCTCACACAACAGACTTTTGATGTTCGTATGAACATCATGCGTCTTCGGCTATACCCTCCTGTACTCTCACTGGCTCACACGTGAACGACCATCCTATCCACCATGGCCCATGACGCTAACTTTGTTGGCAATCGTTTGCGACTGAGCGTCTTTCTTCAGTGTATGGAACATGGGGAGATGCCTGCCCGTCCGTCACGCTTCAGGCGATCTGCTCAAATAATGGCCGAACCAGCCAGGTCTTTTGCTCCGCTATCCTCTCGAGTCAATTGTGGCGTACCAGCCCTAGAAGCGTATAATGGACCGCTAGTGTTGACCTCCAAAGCATCGATGGAGACAACAGCCATCATGTCCGATGTGGCCGAAGAGGCTGCGACAGACGATGAATCGTTGGGAAACAACATCAACAAAGAAGGAGAGAAAATCTCGGAAGATTCTATCCCAACTACCGTTGCGGAAAAAACGACAAGAAATAACAAAGGGCTATCGAGCAATCCGAAAAGGCGTCTACCAGTGAACGAGCTCGCCTTGTTGCGGACCACAACACTTGATGGACTGCCCACGCAGGTTGTAGGGATGCTTCGCGGATGCCACTAGAATAATGTTGTGACTAGCTAACGCTACTTGACCTCAGGATGCCGCTGTCAGCTTTACTACGCCCATCGCTGTAATCGATCCTATCGAAGAGAGTCAAATACGTTTCGCAGGTAGATTGAGTGATGAAGTAATTTAGCTTTATCTGAACGCTAAAACTGCTGACAATTGCATAGACTTCTCGCAGCTTGATCGTCACTGAACGCCGACCATCACCTCGTATAGTTCACTTGTCGAACATCGTCCGCTCACCAAATGCCATGATCTCAAAAAGTCCTGCAAAGCTCTTTCGGCGTTCCTCACCACGATCCAATGGCAAACCACGATATGATTCAAGCTACCGAAATGCTCATGACGGGTTTGTCGGTTCTGAACTCCAGCTCCGTTCCACAAAAAGATCAAGCCGCCGAGGAAGAGCAAGTCCGACCAAGCGAAACAAGCCTAGCATCATGCGCGAGTTAGCTCTAGGAGCTGGGCCCTTGTCTGTATCCCTAGTCCATCCCGTGGCTATCTCTAGTGTTTTAACGGTGAAAAGGACAACAGACCGCGATGCTCCGCATCCTCCGTTCGGGTCTGGAGATATTCAGCCCAACACAAGGGTTGGACAATCGGTTTTGATGAGGACACGGAGCGCTCTGGAGCCTGATGTAGTAGTCGAGCGAATCCCGAACCAAGCGATATTGTGATGCTATGTCAGCTCTCTGACCTGGCGGGTTCGAGTTGATGCAGGATCAGTGCGCATTAGGGGGCTGGGACGATGGAAGCTACGCTATATATCAACAGAACTGTGATACCGATGATGCTGACAAGACTGGCTATGCCTCTGCTAATATAAGCCTTACTTTTGATGGCGGCGCCAGCTTCTTGCGTCCTGCACTTCAACATTCGAAAGCCTAAAGTGAGATCGAGATTAATGACCAATAGCTTCAGTCTCGTGACGAGCCACAAGGACGAGAAGTCCAGTCTGACTATCTTTGGTATGTAGAGGCAGCAAAATGCAACCGGAGAACTGACTCAGGAGAGACAAGACAGGAATTCGAGCAGCCAAAGGCCATCAATTAGTTCGCTGTCCAGCCCGAAATATCTTCATGGTTGATCCGCAACGTCACCTATGGCACTACTACAGACCCGCGCCCCAAGCGCTGGGCCGACATCGTTAACGCATGTCAGTAATTCTTATGAACACTCAAAATAATAACAGAACTCATCAACGATCATAGCCTAGTATTTCTAGCTTTCCAAGGTGGGTGGATACATCCAACGCTATATTGGCATGTGATTGTGCAAGAGCATTGTGCTTGATCATGGAAGCTAGCTGGTGACTTTCTCAGAGTGTGGATCTAACACCATACATAATATCTAAAGTACAAATTGACGGCATAATGCAGATTGCAGTTTGGGATTACTCGAAAATAATACAACATAGGCAGGGCTGTCGTGGTGAGGAAATGCTGGATGCCTGATATAGTTCTAGCGGCAACCCCAAAATAGCGCAGCGATCGGTGTTCCAGCCTCGCGATTCAGACACTAACATCAAACACCACACTACTGTTTGAACGCATGGGCAAAACACAGTACAAATGTTTTGCTGGCGTGTTGACATGAGTGGGGTGGTGGCTGTTATGGTGCGGTGTGATATATATGGTGAGCTTTGTGCCTCGCTGCGCGAAGGTTTCTATACCGCTTCGACGTCCTGGTATCTTGACTATTGACTAGTCTTCTTGCCCAGGTCCATTGTCCTGCTGTCTGTCTGAGGAGCACATTCGGTTCAATAAGGCGAATTGATCATCTCTCATCAGTAAAATGGCATCGCAGGGCGGCATGCCTCCTTCCATGGTGAGTCCACACTACTACATGAACTGGCCGTATGAGGTCAGGACATAGATGAAAACAAGTCGCTCACATGACAAAGGCAGCACAAGGACCTCCATATCCTCCCACGGTATGGCCATCAGGCGGTCCTCCGACCAAGCGCATCGACATTCCAGCTCAAACAATTTTCATGTTCTTCTTCATGATTGGTGCGGGGGTACACATGAAGATATTCCAGAAAAATAGAGCACGAGGACATAAATTTCTGGCAAACATATTCATCTTCGGTAGGTCTTGTTGTGAGTTAGGAGGGATTGGAGACTGACTCTTTGGAAGGCTTTTGCATGGAGCGCATACTCACATCGATACTACGACTCGCATCAGTCTCGAACCCAACGAACGTTCGACTTGCCATCGCTGCACAGATCTTCGTCTCCGCAGGTGTTCTCATCCTATTCGTCATCAATATTGTTTTCGCAATACGTCTAGTGAGATCGACGCATCCATCAGTGGGCTGGCATCCTGCTTTTGGAATCGCATTCAAGGTCCTTTACGTGTTGATCGGTCTAACACTTGTCGCTGTCATTACGGCCACCGTCCAGACCTTCTATACCCTCAATCCAAACACTCGAGCTACCGACCGTGGCTTCCAGCAATACGGCGCAACATTTCTTGCAATCGTCGCGATACTGCCTTTACCGATTACGATGCTCACACTGCTCATTCCCTATTCACCACTCGACCGCTTCGGTATCGGCCGTCTCCGTACAAAAGTCATAGTTCTACTGATTAGCACGACGCTCCTCTCCATTGGCGCATGGTTTCGCTGTGGCGTTACCTTCCAAGCACCAGTTCCACGGTCGCAACCTCTACCAGGATATCTCGGCAAGGCACCATTCTACATCTTCAACTTCCTCGTCGAAATTCAGACCGTGCTTATGTATGCCATACTTCGCATAGATCTCCGCTGGCACGTTCCTGATGGCGCAAAGGGGCCAGGTAGCTATGCTAGACCACAGATGCACGACGTGGAAATGCAAGATTCGAGACCTACATCCTCGGATAGTGTACAAGACGACAAGAGATCCCTGAAGACTATCAGCGAGGAAGAAGAGAAGGGAATCAATGACGAGAAGGTTGAAGAGCTTGCTGCACCCAGGATCATAGAGATTGACCTTGGAAACTCTTCACGTAGCTCGCTCGCGCCGCCAGACATGGAGGTACGTAGGAGCTCAGCCCGTAGCTCTCTTGCACCACCAAAAGCGACAGACAGGTCAGCACGTAGCTCCATCATCTCCCAACGCCTGTCTTCTTTCATCAGCAAATCCACCAGTACCCTGGCCACCTTTGCAACGGCAGAACAGAAGCAGCGATGGCGCGAAAGCGAAGAGGGAAGGATAATTAGGAGATTGGGTGGACCATGGCAGCAACTCCCTAGTCCTACTGAGTCGGCGTTTAGCATCAGCAGGAGTCCGACGAGGAGCGTTTTTAGTCGTACTACAGGAGACGAACTGGAACCACCTCAACCAGCATACCACCAACGGAGCGATAGCGGTGCGCCCAGCATACCAGATGTTGTTAGCGAGGGCGGATGGACGCCGAGAATTGAATGGGAATTCCGCAGTCCCAGACGTTTTCTCAGCCTGAAGAAGAGGAGTATGATCGGTTTGCAGCTTCCTAAATGAGCCCATAAATACGTATGTGGGGTTGTGTGATGAGGTATTTACAGCGAAGGCGTTTTTGGGATGAAAAGGTATAATTCTACTGCTGGGCAGCAAAGCTCTTTCCTTGTGTTCAACATACCCCATCTCTTTTCGGTATGGAGACGATGGCCGTCTATATAGACTTTGCGTTTTCTTCTTTTTTCTCTGTACATGTACGATAGCAGCGGCATAACCAACGATATACCAAGCATTTCTTTTTCTCATTGGGCTAGACTTACATACCACGACCTCATCGGTCTAGATCTCTGGCTCGCCTCTACATCAACAACCACATTTCGTGCCGTGAGCTGATCCAGGATCTGCAACTAATTTAGCGCCGCGGCTCCCCTCCCAGCAACCCGGGCACCGTACCTGAAAATAAGATCCTAAAACAAATCAATAGCGCGAAACGAACATAAATGTGCCTCAGGGAACGCTTGGTCTGCTGTCACTTGTTTGAAGAAGGGGTAGGGTCGCGCTAGTGCGTTAGCTTTAGCAGTTTGGATCGTTTGGTGTTTTGTCTTGAAGACTGAACGTCTGATCAAGGGAAGAAAGATCTTTGGACAGGTGTTGATGGCCCGTCATCGTTGAAGCCATCATAGTCGACCGGAAAATTGCAGGCATTCCATAGCGTAAAGTCATTATTGTTTCGACGTCTTTATGCCTGCTTCCCTTCATCGTCCACAATTCAAGCAAAAAACCCTTACATAGGAATCCTCCTCATCTCCTCCAAACTCCAGTATTTTCTCATATTCTCCGCTTCCAGCTGCTTGACTTCATCGTCCAGATGCTGCCACAATACATCCCCAAATGAATCCAAGATCTCCTTCAACTCGCCCAATCGCAACTCCCTCTCCCCGCTCTCACAATCTTCTAGATACTTTTCCAGCTTATCGAGACCCTTGTGGATCTGCTTGTGCTGTGTAAGAAGCTCGAGTTCCTTTTTGAAAGCAGGCATCTTTTTGGCTAGTACGGGGAAGATGTGTTGTTCTTCTATCGTATGATGCACCGTGAGGTGGTCTATCATGCAGACTGTTAGATGACTTTACTCTAGAGCTTTGCAGTCTGGTGCTTACGGCAAAATTGCTGGCCTGTGCTAATAAACTGGCGGATAGACATGTTCTTGGGCCTCTTCTGTGCCTCACAAGCCCCATAGAGAACTTTCCAGGTCGCACGGAAGTTATCGTGGAAATAGTTCATATGTTCGGCCATCCTGTTGTACTGACGAAACTCGGATGGCGTGAGTTTTGGTAGAGCCTTCTCTTCCTTGGTCGCAGGTGTAGGGTTTGAATTGTTGACTACAGGAGGGGCTGGCGCAGTAGGGCCGTCATCTCCTGAGATAGTTGCCATTTTTGCGGGAGGGATCGATTGATGCAGTGTAGGGCTGGTCGTGAAGTGATGCCTTCCAAACTGTGCTAGAGCTGATCGAGCTGGAAGCCTGATGACGGATGCCAAGAATTGAACACGCTTCATACGCTGAGAAAGAAAATCTAGAACTGCACTTGAAGAGGATAAGATGATATAATTTGGGGTATCTATGTTTTGCATGTAGCGCAACCTTGGAAAGCAATTAGCCAGTCGCGGCTGGCGAATTTTGCCTTAGCAAGCAGCCAGCGGCCGGCAGTTGGACTTTCCGATGCCGGTCAAAACGCGTTGCACGCGGTCACGTGCACGAGCCATTACCAACCACGACATGCAGTCGTGCTTCACTTATTCCGCGTTTTGGCAAACTTCTCGTGCCATTTCCGTGCCGACGGCTTCATGGCTGCTACCGAATTGTCCGCAATAGATGTTGTGGAGGCTTTGCTCTTTGCCCTTATTGTCGTATCGGAGGGGAAGTCGTAGACGCCCTCGATGGCACTAAGTTGTGCGTCCTTGCGCCATACTTCAGGCAGGCGGTCCTCCCATGTGTCGGTAAAGTCAGCGATGAGGAAGTCGCTACCGTGCTTGGCTTCTAGCAACGTCCTGCCCGTAAAGACGACCGTTTTTGCTCTGTCCAGACATGACCATGGTCCGTTGTTGGAATCTTCTGTGGATAGATGTGCTAACACAGCCTCTACGAGGCCTGGCGGATGTCCCTCTTCAGCCGCAGCCTTGGTAATATCGTTGGTCAGGAACTGTGCGTCCAGCTTGATGCCTTCGGCGAGCGCAGCAGCGTTGATGGATCTCCACACTTGTGAGAGGGCGTTGGGCGAAGGTTGGTAAGATCCACCATCCGCCTCGAATGCTATCAGCTCATTCCATGCTGCCTGACATTCCCCATTCGACACGGGCAGATCGTTGTATATGCTGGTCTTGCTCCTGCTGTTGCTGGTCGCATCGACGTCTCCGGCAACAATGTCGTATATCGGCAGCGCCTCCCTAAGAAGGGCAGCAGCAGACGCAGTCGATGTGTAGGCCTCGAGTGTCGTGGTACACAGGGCAATGGCGCGTGTGGCAGGGGTGGGTATCTCGTTGCCAGGGGCTTCGAGGGCAGGCTGGGTCAGGAAGAGCGAGTTGGACGTCTGGACCTGGCGCAGCTGGAAAGATTTGTTCGGTGTACAAAGTACTGCATATGCAGGCTTCGCGTTGGACGTGCCAGGAGCGGCGGACTGGGCTTGAGATTTGATAGAAAGCCTGGCGTCTGCAGTAAGAAGGGTATCCGCATGGGAACGACAGGTCGGCGCACCTACAGCGGGGGATTGGGCGCGTCTATCAGCTCAACAATTTCCGGGGGCAGCTCGAGCAGGCGGAAATGCTGCTGTTGGTGTGCTATGGAGAAGGGCACACCGCCTTCATCTTGCTGCGTGGCCATGTCTTGGTTGACCGCACCACTCCGAAATCAAACTGCTGACACTCTTGGAAGCCGACAGTACCTCATCTCATGACGGCAGCTGCTATGACGACGATGTTTTTTTGTTTGTGGACACTGCGGGGTGCGGCGATGTGCAACTAGCAGGCAGACGGCTCGGACGATAAGCTGCAAGGGCAGCATTTGCAGGCCAAAAATACTTGTCATTGCGGCCGCTTGCTGGGAACCCCATGCTTCTGCTTGTCGCACCTGTGGCAGACAGTGGCACCTTGGTTATTCGCGCTGCAGCTTCCCACTCGCGCTTGGTCGCAGCCGCATGACCGCTTTCTTGGTTCGGGCTTCAACAAGATCCATGGGATTTGTTGTTGTTTAGACCCGGAACGCGCCTCCACTGTTCCTTCTCTACCCCAATGGCTTCCTAGCACCACGCCGACGACAACACGACAACACGACAACAACACCGCCCTCGCCTTCTGCTTCTGCTTGTGCGGCTGCGCCATGCAACCACTGTACTAATTGTCCTCTTCACCCGTCTGATTACTAGCTGCCAAATCCGTCACTCGTTTCCGCGCAATTGGCACCATGGTTGTAATCAACCCCGAGCCCGCCGCCCTCTCCGCAGAGGATCTGTCGCTCTTCTACACGACAGACGAGCTGCTCTCTGATTCCCCCGTGCTCATCTTCTACGGACCGACGGCTACTTCCACACAGGCGACACATTCGCGCATCCAGACCCACGTCTTTACACCAGCCGGCCTCCAGAGCTTCGCCCGCCTGATTATCTCGCCGACGGCTACCTACTACAATGCCGTCACATGTCTGCCGCGCGAGGAACAGGGCGACGAGATTTGTCGCGGTCTCGCCTTCAGCCTGTACAAGTACTTCCTCGAGTTGCCCTCGGAGATCAAGAGCGCTTGGGAGAAGCGATACAACTCCTCAGACAACCTGCCCATGGCCCCCAGGCTGTTCTCCGAGGCGCACGCCGCCATCGTCGCTGCCAGGATGATCAAGGTTGAGAATGTCGCAGATGTCATAGTAGACGTGCGCCATGCTTTGGGCGAGCAGACGCTGTCCTGGATAGATTTGGATGTAGTCCTGCCACAGGGAAGCATCCAGAAACTGGAAACACGCGAGTCGGGCCAATTTGAAGACCTCGAAGAAGATCTGGTTAAACAGCGGTACGGACAGTACGCACCCATCGTCAAGCTATTTGGAGATGCCGCCTTCCTCCCCACATCCAGACTCCGCCGCGCGCCCTCGAAACCAACCGCCCTCAACCGGTCACAGTCCTTCTCAAGGAAACAAAAAGAGACTCTTCGGCGAGAGATGTGTGAGCTTTTGGACACGGAGGAAAATTATGTCAGCAAGCTGGACGAGCTGGTCCACACTGTAGCGGTCGAATTCCGAGAGAAGGCCAAGCAAAGGTCAGGCTCGAGTTCCAGCCCCACCGAACAGGCGCTTCGAGGCTTGTTCCCTCCTAGTCTTGACAAGATACTCGAAGTCAACTCCAAATTCCTGGATGCCATACGTATCATCTTAGAGGAGTCCGAGAACGGTGCGATCGAGGATATCGAGACAGCAACAGACGACGTCTATATCGCACCGTTGCGTGGACAGAAGGACGCACCAGATGTCACTGGAGCTGCAGCTGTTGCCAGAGCTCTTCTTGAGTGGCTACCACAGTTCGCCGACTGTTACACCGACTACATGGCTGCTCATGGTGACTTCTCACAGCTGCTAAAGCACTTCACAAAAGAACCAGCCTCTAGCTTCTCAAAAAGGGTCTACGAGACGGGCGAGCAACGACTTACATCCATGCTTATCGAGCCGGTCCAACGCCTACCACGATACAATCTATATATTGACAACATAATCAAACAACTGCCAGTTAGACATCCTGCAATCAGGTTGTTCTTGAAGGCGAGGGACATGATCTCGGATATATGCACAAGAGAAGGTCCTACAGCAGCGCATATCAGGGTGTTTGATCGCTTGCGCAAGATGGTCAGTTCATGGCCATCGGGATTCAACCCTAAAGGGCGGCTCATCTCAGTCATCGATTGTGTGGAACTCTCTCCGCCATACCATGGTGAACTGTCTGGACCCGCTACGGTTTCCGGTATCATGATAATCTTTACAGATTTCTTGGTGCTTCTTCAGAAGTCAGAGGACAGCTCGATCAATGCACGTGGCTTACTCGCTGAGTTGGATAACCCCAAGTTCGCCGAATCATATGATGGTACTACGGAACTCTCTTTCCATCAATACCTGGGTCTCAGCGATGTCTTCGTCAGTGAGCACTCAGAGGGAAATATCCTGCAATTTTTATCCTCCGTGCCGCTCGCCAATCAACCCGGACGTCCAAGAAGTCGAGAACGCCAAAAGCTTGGCATTCGCATGTTCTACCTGCAAGGCGCCTATGAAGGTAAAGGGCACAAGGTCACCGAAGAACTAACCAAAGCTCGCGTTGAAGGCAGGTTTTCGGAAGCGGAGCGGGACGGCGGCAAATGGGACGTTCGAAACTTGCCAGGCGATCTGAGCTTCTTTTCATCTGTGGCTGAAGAGACTGGTGGTCAGTATGTTGAAGGTCGAAGAGAACCTGCGAGAGTACAGATTCTAGTCGAAGGTTCAAAGTTCACCAAGCCCATCTCAGTGGGAGACAATGGTGTCGAGCTTACCGTCACGATTAACATGCTCGGAGACGGACTCTACCTACTAGAGTCAAACGGTGCCAACGGCTACACGGCACGCGACAAACTTACCGACCAAGAGTTTCGACCTGTCCTCACGAAGCGACTTGCCAACTACTTCCAAATGCGCAACAGTGTCAAGAATCATGTGCTAGCCGAGGCGTATCTCTTGCGGAACAAGCAAATACTCAAATCACTTGCCTTGGAGATGTATGAGGCAGAACAACAAACAGGTAGCAAGAGCCGGCCACACTCTCCAGTAAAGATGCTGTCTAGCTTCTTCGGCGGCAGCGTGGGTAACTTCAGTGGCAGCATAAATCGTGAAGGAGGAGGTTCTCGCAGACTTCAGCGAAATGCTCATACTATGGGAGAGATACCGCGTATGGCGCCTCCTGTTCAACTTGGCTCAACCCGTACGTACAGTCATGACGGGGACATGTCACGTCCCACTTCGTCCAGCACTACGAAGAGCATTACTTTCAACGGTGCCGCGCCGACTGATCCGTTCGCGAAGCTCGAGGATACCTTGGCAAACCTGACTCTAGCATTGCACGCACGCAAAGGCAACATTGTTGGACGTTCCGTCCGCGCTAGAGCTGTCGCAGACGAACTTGTTGTCAATGAGCTGTATAACACACTCCTGGAAAACCCAACTAACCTTGAACTTGCAGGGCAATCCTCGGTGGATGTCTTGTTCGCGGTGTTTGAGAAGTTCCTGAGCGTTGCTTGGAAAGAGAGAATGGGCCCTGTGCTGTCGCATGCCACATTAGTCTCTTTACAGATGCGATCAGACAGCATGCCACCTGATGAGTTCGAGGAGTTTTTCAAATACACCTTCGATCAATTACAACCTCCCAATCAGCGGGCATTCCGGGCAGTCATCAATCTCTTGGCGGAGCTGCTGGATGGTACTAGCAACGATGGAGATCGAGGTATCCTCACTGCAGCATTTGCCGAGATGCTAGTGCCTGCAGGCAATGCAAACGATTTCATATCTCTCATGGATCGCTTGGTCCAGGATATCGATGCACTATTCCCGGCTGAGACACCTGGTTTCAATACCCCAAACTGGGGCTCCATGGACTCCAAGAGTCGATATGCAGCCGCGGGCTCGCTCAACTCCAACACGTCATTGAGGAGGCGTTTTGGATTTGGCACTTTGGAGCGAGAGAACAGCAAGTCGGAGAAGGAGTCCAAGGTAGGCTCACTCTGGCGCTCTCTTAGCAAGAACAGCCACGGAACAGACCTCCAACCAGCCAGCATGGGAAGGTCTGGTCCTGGGCATCTTGCTCGTTCTAACTCAATAGACGCTGCTGCTCGCCTGTCGCCGAAGCGTCCGTCTTCTCGCGATCGTCCAACTGTTCTCGGCGCATTCACGTTTGAGAACGCGAACTCAAATCCAAATCCAAGCTCAAACACTAACGGCCGAGGATTCGTGGGCAATCTTGGGACTATTGGAGAGGTACCTCCCACTGTTGGGCCTCCCCGCAAGAAGCGCCGTTCCTCTTTGAGTGATCTCAAGACACTGCAGGATGCTGACGATGTGCCCGCGTGGTCCCCACAGACTCCTCGCAAAGCTGATCCTTCATTACGCCATGAGAATCGGCAAATCAGTGACTCCCCCTTGGCTCCTGCGGCCGCTACGATGGCGCTCCATAAGCACACATCATCGATACCGACGCCTACGCGACTCGGTTCACCGTTGCGGGTAGACCGACCGGATAAGAAAGAGAACGTACCTGCTGTCGGGACAGAGCGTCCAGCCCATATAAGGGGCAAATCGGTTACCATGAAGCCGGATGTCATGGATGAAGTAACAATCAAGTCGAACAGTCCTACGAAAAAGCGAAGCGAGACTATCTCTGGAATACCTAATCCTCTGAACCTTCCAAACAATTCGAGCATCCCAAACCTAAGGCCAACTACCAGTGCTGGTCTGCACGAGCGTAACGGGTCTGGTAACGCTGTCAAGCTACCACCTTCGACGCCACGGTCTCCAACCAAACCGAGCACTCCTTTGACAGGAAACTCTCCCAAGAAATTGAGAATGCAATCGCCGCAAAAGCTGCGCGAGCGACTGCAAACTCAGCAACGCGATATAGACACAGCTTCGCAAGCTCTGCAGAACGAGCTGAGTGCCATCGGGCAGGAGCTGAGTGCTAGAAGCACCCCACGCCTGACGACTCAGAGCTCGGCTCCGTCATTAATAACAGGAGGCACGCCTTCAAGGTCAGCTGAACATCGCATTGCCACGCTGGAGAAGCTCAAAGCCACATTGGACACTCTATCTGCACGTACATCAGGAATATCAAACGATGTTACTTCGTCACTACAAGTTTCGGAAGCACGATGCAAGCACCTAGACCAGTTATACCGTGACGTCAACGCCGAGAACGAAGCGTTGTACGCGCGCTTCAACGAGGAACTGGAGAAGGTGACAAGCAGCGCTCGCAAAGGAAGAGCTAGCGAAGAAGTAGAGCGACGATTGAAGACGAGCGAAGAGGAGCTTGCGCGCCTGCGAAAAGAAAACGCACGATTGAAGAGAGAGAATGCTGGTTTGAAGGCGCAAATCAGAGAGTGAGTGGTCATTAGGACTGCTCTTCTGTGTTTCAATCACACTGGTGTGTGTGTCAGGCGGGATGTCGATGTTGACCAAGTCGTACAGTCTGCTCAGCGTAATTAAAACCACAGCGGGACAGTCTCCCAAAGCTTCTAGACACGAGTAATATGGCTGACATGGGCGCGGGTTCAGCATTTGATGATACATGGCTGCATCACGGCTGTCTTGATGGCCAGATTCTCTTCGCTTCTTTGTTTCGATATTTTGGACTGGTTTATGATGACATGACATGGCGTTGTGTGGTTGAGATGCCACTTTTAGAGCAATATACCATCTGCTTTTTATTTGCCCAAACAAGACGTTGCTCGGTGCTGTAAGCTCGATAGGGACATGCGATGCTTGTTTGCACGTAGAGGTGTGTTGGTGGGCTCGGGAGAAAGCCAATAGCTTCCCCAGGCCGGCAGCCTCGCCAAGAAACATGGCAGCCTCAACCCCGCTAGTTTATGCATGTGTTGGCAGGGCTTTGCAGATAACACCGACCCGGGGGAGTAATGCCGCGGCTGCATAGCTGCATGCTGCAGGTTGGCCTCGGACGGAAGGTGCAAAGGGTCAGAGTCGCGGCCTACTGCGTGGGTGAGTAGTGTAGTCAGGGCGAAGAGGACATGTGTTTCATCAGGTGTGCAGTCAGGCTATTAATGGAGACTGATGTGCTCCCACGGTGCGCTAGAAGCAAAGTCAACGTTTCGCGCTCGATCGGGACGGTTTCCGCTAGGTCGGAACTGGGAGTGCTGGACGACGATCGCGGACCAGTCTCGTCGAGCTTGTGATTACTGTTCGTCATCTTCACCATCGATCAAAGGCCCAGGTCAATTGTGTGCGTCCATGGCAGAGCGCGCGTGTTAAGAGACGTGATCCCAGAACCCTCATCCGGCCGCCAACTTGCCCAGACGTCTTTATCGTCACTCCTAGTCCACCCCGGCCGGAAACCGGATCCGTGGACCGCGCTCGCCCAAACCAACGACGAAACGTCGGCGCTCCACTGCGGTTGACCCTTTCCCTTGACCCTTTGGAAGCCTCCACGACGGAGAGCGGCAATGACTCTCCATACTGTGTCCACGACCGAGTGCTCCCGCCCTACATCACAACGCGCGTCCTATCCCTTGCTGGCCTCACCCACCCGCACGCTACAGCTTGGCTAATATATATCATCCAAAGACATGGCCTGGTTCATGAGAGGAGTCCAGAGTGCCGTCTTCCACTATGCCTCGTGCGCACCCTGCACCGGCTACTCAGACGGCAGAAAGAGGAGGAAAGCAGCAAAGGCCGCGCGCAAAGTCAGGGAGAAGCTGGAGCTGGAGCAGCCCGGCGCATACCATCATCCCGAGCCGACTGGCACAAACATATACTGGCAAGAGGAAATCGCCATGGGCCCAGGGCCACCACCACGAAGAGCGCGGAGGACCAACACGGCAACTACAGGCAGCACGAGGGGTATGCCGACACGGGGAACACAGAGCTCGGCTTTGAGCAATGGTGGGAGCAGCATCGACGTCGACCACGCCGGCAATACCCGCCTTAGTGACGATACTCTCGACGACGACGAGACGTGGAACCACAAGCGATATCAGAGGGAAGACGAGGACCTATGGGGCTACGACGAGCCTTCAATCAATCTCGAACAAACCATGACTGCCTCTTCCGTCGGAGGTGCGGGTTATCAAATACGGAGGCCTGTTCCTCCAACATCTGGAAGCTACTATACCGCGCGCGCACCGCCAGTCAATGATCTGCACCCTCCCGTCGTCAGTCTTCCATCTCCCGACCCCATTGATAATCGATGGATGCTCCAACCACCACCCAAAGCTAGTGTCATGGCTGGCAAAGAACGAGCGTCCAACAGGAGTCGGAGTGGCAGTGGCGCAAGTAGCCGCGTGGAATTGAGCTTGGGTCGCCAGGTCAGCACAAGGCAATTGATGCACAAGTTGGAGCGAGGCGAGACGCCTGAGGCTCGATCAGCATCACCAAATGGTTCGTATTTCAACCCATCACGGTGCAGGACGCCACAAGCTCGACCGCCCTCTGCCACCAGCAGTGCTCGTCGGAGAAAGAGAAGAGACACAGCCATGGCTCGCGACTTGGCTATGGCGCGAACCGATACCGTGAGCACTCAGCATTCTTCCGGTGAATCCAGTGATACCATCATCCGAGGCAACTCCGCACCTCACACCGCAGCCATTCCGGACGTTAAAGTAATTCGCGTCCGCCAGAGCCGTCCTGCCCTCTCCACAGTCTTGTCCAGCAATTCAGGTAAGAACGATACGCCAGTCACAGCATCAGTTCCCAACGGTAGCGATGAGAACGCTCTGCGCATGCCTGAGAAGCCCAGTCCAGCGCACCACCGCTTCACAACCACGTCGACCCCCGACTCCATCCCCTACTACACCAAACACCGCGAACCTCTCAATTCATCCGATATATCCTCCCTTAACTGCCTTCAAGACCTCGTATCCCCACGCGCTCTACTCGATTCACACTTCGTCTCCGCACCCCTAGTAGAGGCCAAGATTCGTTTACCACCTTCAGAAGAGGACATGGCCGCAAGGGCGCGACGAGAGCTATCCAACAGCGGTTTCAGCATTTCAAGCGACTGGGATGAAGAAGAAGAAGGTATCGTAAGAGTACCTTTTGACCGGAACTTTGGACCACCAGAAAAGGATCCAAGGTTTAGATGGAGTGTCGACTTTTGATCAGATCATCCCTACCTACCTACCTACCTACCTACCACCACCGCCATCACCATCACTCACACGCCACATTCACAAACAATACCTGAATTCTCGTCACGCACATCATCAGCGTTGGCATCTTTTTGCATAGCATCGTTCGCCGGGTCCTTCTACAGGCTTTCTTTTCCTTTCTCTTCTACTTCATTCTAGTTTTTTCAGCGAATGGTTTTTAGCGAAGATCGCATACATGCATTGCATTTTGGATAGACACGACACCTTGATGACCTACACTATATGGCGTTTTGGGAGGGTCACGATGGCTTCAAGCATCGTTCTTAGGGCTGGCTTCCGGCATTGTTCTCACTTTTTCACTTCTTCGTCGTGGACTTTTGTATATATCGTTGCGCAGATGTGTAACCAACGAAAGGATTAGATTTATTCAGCTCCAAGGGTAGAGCTCAAGTCAGTATGCAGCTTTTCTTGCCTATCTGGTGACTCTGTTGCTCGATAACGAGCGGTTTACATCACCGTCATTCTGATGCAGGATGCTAAGTAGTTTGACGACGTGATTGCCTGCTTACTGTGCTCTCTGTCCTGTTCTAAAATCAAAAGCGCGCGCATGCTGCATGGCCTCCCATTGCGGCTGATATCTTACAACTCATATTCCCACATCTATCTTGCACCCAAATCCCACAGCCTAAGCGTCTCACCCTTTCCACCCCTCTTCTTGTTACCCTTCTCCTTCCCGCCCTCGGTCAATTTCAACATACACTTTGACACTGCCGCCAAACACTCCAGCACTTCGCTCATCCGCCCCGTTTCAAGTAAACACCTTTGAACCCACTCATTGCCTTTGTCCGCTACTACAACAGCGACCTCCATAGCCTTGATTGCAGGATCCTTGTTCAAAAACCAGGAGGCCGCTTGTAGAACAGAGAGGTATGCGAGTATCATGTCTGGGATATACGCCTTCATCAGGTCCCAGGTTTTGTGTGTAAGGTAGTCTGGGTCTGCAGCCGAGGCTTGGGAGATGGCAGGAATGAGGGTATCGAAGACATTGGATATTGAGTCTAGAAGCGCCTTCGTGCGTTGAGTATCAGGCTTGTGTTTGGCAGATGCGCCTTCTTTCTTGCGTTCTGCACGAATTCTGGAGACATAGTTAGTTGGTGTGCTTAGAGTGATAAGAAAGAAGAGTGACTGACTGAATGAGTGTTTGTTCCTCTTGACGCCATTCACGGAAGAGGGCCAACAGGCGAACGATCTGCTGGAGCGTATAGTATGCCGTGCTGCTCTTACGTAGGTTATCTACGATCTCCCGGTGTTGATCGGCGTCAGGCAATTGTGCCAAAGGCATAGCGGCTGCTCGTGCAGAAGTCGAGAGATTGTCGCGATGTTCGTGGAGCTGCTGCTCGTCTTGCTCTTCCGCACCTGCCGTGGTGAAATCGAAGGGATAGCCGAGCAGAGCTTCTGTTCGAGACAAGGACAGAGACTCGACGCTGAGATCGCTAATGACCTTCTCGGCGGCGGCAAGTCGACCATTGACTATAAACCATGTCAGCAAGTTTCCGAATGTCTATATCGCAAGCAACTTACGCAAGAAGATGGTTAGCGCGCTCTTTAGGTGTCCGAACGTGTTTTCGTAATCCTTCCCGACGTAGCTGTACCATTGTACCGCATCTATGACTATTTCGTCTTGTGGGCTTATCTCAGCACCACCAAATGTCCGCTTGACACGAACACCCGGCCATAGCAGCTGCTCAGTCGGAAGAGTGATTTTCTCCAAGATGTTGAACCGCTTGATAGGATTTGTGATAACGCCATAACCCTCTTTGGTAAAGTGTGTAAACCCGCTATCCCTAGAAGCAAACGTAAAGCTCTGTGATATAACTTGAACGACGTCGATTCGATATGATTCCATGAGTGCAACAGAGTGACGTTGCTCAGAGCTATTTTTAATGTCGGGGAGGACACGCGCGAGACTGTAGGCGGCTCGTTCGGGGATGAGCTGTGCGGCATAGAGCGGTATGGTATCGAATCGTTTGGTAAGACGTAGAAACTCGATGTAGGCTGTGATGACGTTGTCCATAGCCAAGAATATCTTGTCTTGATGTGTATCCTCGAAAAGCGTGTGTAGTCCGTTGCGAAGGACAATGAAGACGTGGACCAAGATGCGGAAGGCATGTGGATCTTTCGCGAGAGTCTGATAGTGTTGTTCTGCGCGGAATGTGCGATGGTCTCCAGCAGGTATCGGGCTTCGGTCTTCTTCTAACGAGTCTGGATGTATGATGAGACTGTGTGGTCGGTCGTCCTTGTCGAACATGTCCGCAAGAGCCACACCGACCTTCAGCATCAAATCATCAGTGTCTCTGGCGATAAGCGCGCTCTGAATAAGCTTGATTGGAGAGGCCGCTTGAGATGCTGTACTCTTCTGTTGCTTCAGAACTTCAATCACCTTCTCAGGTGACTTCTCCCAGTCTCCGATATTGGCGACTGCATCTTGGAAGAGAAACTTCTGAGTCAAGGATTCTGTCACTCTGCTCGGATAATTCTTCTGAAGATATGAGTCGAATCGGGAGAGCAGAAGTGCGTTGTAGTGGGCATGAAGATGATCATCCCAAGACTTGCAGACTGCTTGTACTTGCTTCAAGTCTCCACTCAGCAGACCATATACAGCACCTTCATATGGTATCCGAGCTCCCCTTGCAGCGTAGAAGCTCATCCGGCGGAACAGGTATCCGACGGTCGGGCCTGCGACGTTTGGCCCACCTTCTGGGTGACCTTCGTACGCTGCTCCGATACTCACGCCGCGCCACGACTCGTTCCTCTCGTAGCACCAGTCGACGATGGTCTTCCAGGGTAGTCCGCGTCGCATCATTTCGTATGCAACCATCCAGAGAGAGCGCTCATAATACTCGTCGCTCCTCTCGAGTGCGCGCTTTTGCCGTGAAGGAGCGTCTGGGTCTAGTTGGGTAACGAGGTTCGCGGTCCTGTCAGAGGTCTTGAGGTTCGAGTTTATCGGCTTCAGCGGTTGGTCTGTGTCGTCCATGCGCTTCGCCTGCTTGATCTTTGTCTTGGTCTCCAACCAGCCGCTTGTCCAGGTGTGCGCGCCCTTTCCAGAATGCTCTTCCAGCCCTGTAATGATGGCCTTCACATCGCTGTCGCTGTCGCGGGCCGTTTGTTCTAGCCAACGAAGGACGAGCGCTTTCTCCTTGGCCTGGTCATCCTCCAACAAAAAACGATCCCAGATCTCGCTGTTCTTGCAGTATCGTGCATTTCCGCCGACCTGTTCCAATCGCGTTTGCTTCTCCGCCGCCACATCAGTGCCAGGTTCCGGGTTGTAATGTTCGATGACCAACTTCAGCAGCTTCCATGTTGCAAGCTCTGCCTGCCATTCTCGTAGCTCTCGGACGCTCGCGGAATCGGGGACGGTGCTGGACTCGATAGATGGAATGACGGATTGGGACGACTGGCCGAAGACACTCTGTCCTGCATTGTCTGACGCATCCGCCATACTCTGTATTTTCCGACGGACAGTCTTGCTGAGGCTTCCCTTGTTCTCTGCTTCCGTTGTCCGCTTCAGCTCCTTCACATGTGATTCTGCAACGTCTTGGAACTTCCCGACGAGCTTGACCGTGGTCTGATATTTGGCTTTCTTCGATTCGTTGCCGTGGACATGCCAGTGGTCCACTCGCTCCGCGAACTTCTCCACCTCTTTCCCTACACGTTCGGCCATTGCACGCAGCGGTTGTAGCGGGTCGTTGGCCTTGGTGCCGTTCGTGACTCGTAACATTCCGAAGGAAAACGCGTTGTTGTTATGAGACTACAGAGAGTGTGAACGCCTATCGTGAAGAGATTGAAAGTATGATGGGAGGCAGTCGGAGCTCCTGATGACTTACCTGAGCTGCAGTCGGCTGCGACTGGCGCGATAGTGATCGTGAAGCCATGATGAAAGGAATGGGTGAAAGTTGGAAACGACAGAAGGAACAAGACAAGGCGATCTCACAAACACTTGACTAAGCCACGCGCCAATATCGTGTTGGGAGCTTGCGATGTTCGTGGTTGACAGCCCTAAGCCCATCACAAAACAGAAGTCGCGCCCGGACGTCGCTGCAAGTTAGCGCGTCGCCAAGACTTGACACGCTAGCGAACATAAAACTCGAAATCTGCCCTTACCCAGATTTTCTCGGTACAATGTTTTCACAGGACGGCGCCTTTAGAGTCTCGTCAGGAATCTTCAGTTTCTCATGACGCGCTCGTGCTGTCCCAGATCAACACGCTTCCTGGTAACCTGGCTGGACTCCCAAGTGGGGATTGACAGTGCGGATGATATAGGAACTGTTACATCCCATGAATTAACGACCAAACTTCTGAATGCTTTGAGAATTACTCTAAACATCGTGTCGTTTGCCGGCTCTTTGGCTTCCAGGTCCCGATCTTGTCATGATCTCACGTCGGCTTGCTGGCTTCACAAAGGACTATGTTTCCCAAGACTATTTTGATTGCGACGGGCGTCATAGACGTTCGTTTCCCTTCTTACATTCATAGTCATGTGATGGCGAATGCCCGCGGTTTCATGCAGCGGATTATTTTGTGATAAGGCCACGAATGCGAAACTTCAGCACAGAGGGAACGATTGAAATTGAAATCCCGGTGTCAATGTCAGGACAAATGGTTTGAGTTTTTGTTGGTTATGATACATGACTACAATTACATCGGAACCTTGGTCCTCATCCACTAGTTTGCCTTGGAAGCTATGATATACCCTTCGCACGTTGCTCCATCTTAAGTCTAAGGCGCTGTCAGAGATGCTGTGTAGGGCAACATGATTGAACACTCACTTCAGCAGCGAATATTTTGGACAGCTCACGGTACTGGCATTTTCTCCTTGTTCTTTGTAAAAAGCATTACAGCATTCATACAAGGCATCGATCTGACAAAAGTCAGTTTGTGCTCAGAATCCATACACGTATGTTTATAGCTTGTTCCAGGCGTGAGATGCGTACCTCTTTTCTGCATTTCCC